CACACTCACCAAAAAAAGGTGGTGTAAATAACACCTGGATGGAGTAACTTTTCGTCATCTTTATTGACACAGAGAGCAGCCCACTGCCAAAGGCCCGTAGGCGGCGCTATTGCTACCGTCAAAACGTTAAGCCCGCTATGATGCCCGGATGCTCTCGACATCAGAGGGAAATGATCCAATTTCATTTCATCGGTCGTAAAATGATTGAGTGATCGGGAACAAATGATTTATCTTTCCATATCTATTTATGACAGCTTTCTATAGCGATGGGCGGAACAACGAACACACCACTGTGTGTGTGGCAGAAGGTACAAGGAAGCGGTGTATCCACCTGTTGAACCGAACATGAATGTTTTTGGAATGTGGCAGGAAGACAGACTGCCTCGAGAAAACCCTCACAGGCATGTGGTAGAGATTCAAACGCTGAAGTTTCGAACTGCGAGGCAAGTGTGCGAACCACTTGTCCACTGTGTTGCTATTCGAAGAGATTGAGATGCGAGTTCCTACTGGCGATCTTGCGAGAACATCAAACAGTTAAAAAAAAAGCAAAATACAGAAGGGGAACTTTATATTTAAAAAGTTTAAAGGGTTTTTGCTCGTCAACCTTTAAATTTTAGAGATTGAGCGTGATGAATTGCTTGGGCGCTCATCCGCAAGCATATTAGCCAAACTGTCAGCTCGAGTGTCGAGTCCTCTGAGCAAAAGGAACCTTTTTTTCTTTTTTTTGGTGTGTTTTTCCCTTTTTCAGCTTTGCAAACACTATTTGAGATTTAGTGCAAACATTTGAGCGTCGGGCCCCGCTGTATTGACTGCCCTTTGACAAGCGTAATCCTTTTCTTCTCTGCAGTCACTTCCACCGCGCGATCAATCAAGGGCGTCAATGATGCCCCCCGCGGGCCGCTATGAAGTGCAAGACGCCGAGAGTTCGATCAGCGGCAGCCAGCCACCTTGCCGACTTTCGCCATAATATCGTGATTGATTCATCTTCAAAGATATCTTAAGTGGTTATCTGGATGGGCTGTTTTGTTTAGTTTTTTTTTTTTTTTTTTGGTCGACTGCAGTCCTTTTCATTACCCCCACTCGCCATCCTTTAAAACTGCAACACGCATCAAAACTGGAGATAAATACACTGCTTTTACTCGTTTTATATATTGGCTGGATGGATGATTTATTACTGCGCTTTCAACTTTGAGAGACGATAAAGCAGAAAGGAAGTAGTCTTTGAACGCCGATTGGGTTTCACCACTGGAAAGTAGATGACAATAGAAAAGATTCATCTGCTAATAAACGTACTCTACCCTTATACTTAAAAAAAAAAATAAAAAAATAGACACAGGGTTCAAATAGAGGAGAGTTGACCTTTTTTCCCCGAAAATGTCTGCTTTGTATTGCAAAAAAACAAACAGATTAAAAAGAATGGAACGTCAAACGTCATTTTTTTTATTGTCATGGTGCCTGCTTTTTTTTTTTCTTGCCATGACAAAAAGACATTTATTGAACAATATGTCTATTAGTGTGGCTCTCGGCATACCTAATAAAGCCTCCGCCAAGAATCCAAATGATTCTGCCGCTACCTGACATTTAATGCGACTGTCACGCGTGTCAAGCGAGTAACACAGCCGCCATTCTGGTGCTCTTTTTGTGTCAGCGAATATGAACGGGATGAGCGCATTGCAAGGTACAAGTGAAGCGCACACCAAGGCGTCGCGCGGTATGAAGGAAAGTGTAGTCATTACAGCAACAGGCGACGATGTCACTGACCTCCAGATTGCACTATCTTGTCTCCTTTGTGTCATCCCATTGCGCCGTGCTCATTGAGTGAAATTGTATCTTTTCACTTGGCCTCTCTTAAAAAATGTCCGCGCTATTGAGAGCCACTGAAGCATAAACCTTTTTTTTTTTTTTTTTTTTTTTTGGGGGGGCAGGGGGGGATGTCTTTTCTCCCCCCTCCCAAGCTGCCCCACTCTGTCTTACTGGGAGGTATTTCATGAACAGCTGGGTCCCGGGAGAGGAGAGGTTAGTGAAAGAGGCGCACTGTGTATAATTCAATAATTATCAGGTGTGCATGGGCTGCGTGTGTGTGTGTGTGTGTGTGTGTGTGGGGGGGGGGGGTCTACCCCAAGACCCCCACTATTGGCAGGTGTCAGGTGACAGACAGGCTGTGTCACTGGCTTTCTATTGGAGCGGTCACACTTGCTCCCGACATTAACATAAGCCGATGAGAAACACTTGGGCTTAGCGTCTGCTCGAGACAACTCGAACCTCATTGGGCAATTCTAAAAATGAAGCCAAAAAAATTGCAACAAAGAACGGACTTACACGCACGCGTCACAATATTTGGTATGCGTTCACAATCTGAGGGGTTGTATCATCGATTAATAAATAATGGTCAATTCCGAATGAGAATGTCAGAGGTAATTCATTTAACGAGATGAGAAATATTGTATTTTGTATTTTATTACAGTTTTCAGTGCAAGTCACGGTCTTCTGAGGAAAAATTCGTTCGATAGCGATATTGCTACATATTATGCGGGCAATCACCGTTTACCGAAGTGGTGAACGATTGTGCAGTTCTGTTTATTTTTATATTGACCAGCTTAGCCATATTTGGGAGTGCAACACGGAGGCATTTTCCGTTGGCCGTTCCGTTGCTGTTAGCACTCTGAAATCACTCCGCCAGCACCTCCTCGCATATTTGGATATGTCTTTTTTGGCGTCACTGCGACACCACTCTCGAGTTCAACATTTTTCAACTCGAGGGCGCGCGGCATCACAGCAAACATCGTTTATGACACAGCTTTCCGTCATCGCGCCCTCACAGCGCACACACAATAAACGGGTTCATCAACTGCGCGCTGCTCGTTGTATGAGCGTGAAAAGGCATTCAGGAAGAATTCACGTTGCTTCTCATAAATATTAAGGCTGTAAATGTTTCTACATATTGCTGATAGATACTACAATGCTACATATTTTGTGATTGTTCAGTCGACATAACAGGTTAGCGTATTGTTAATTTTCAATATTTGCATTATGTTTGATTGCGATATCGTTGCATATTTTGCGCTCAGTCAGCTGTTAACTGAGTTATTTATATTGACTTTTTTATCTATAGGAATGATTGTTTGACAGAAATATTGCTGCATATTTTCAATTCACTCAGTCATGGTACATCCTACATTAGTGGCTGTGAACTGTCGAGTTTCCACCCCATCCGTTGCATCGCATCAGCCGAGTTATTCTTACAACAGAGTTCGCTTAAGTGTGTCAGCCTCCGACTTCCCCAATTTCACACGAGTTAACCTCCTAAATGTGCTCTCCACATGCTTGATTCATCCCATTTCAGGAAGTCGGAATGGCCGCCCAGGTCTAAAAAGTGGCGTTCAAAGAAGGTCACGCTTTGTGCTACCTTTAGTATGTTAATTGCCATTCTCCTGCACAGCGGGCATCCTGTTTGAGATGGAGAGGACGTGTGAAGTCGGGGCGAACAACAAGGCACTAGCCACTTGCAACTTATTGGTCCCTATTTTCGTGCCCAGCGCAAGCGCGCTCTAGCTGTGTGCATCGATAGTGTTTTATTTCTTTTGGTATTTTTGTAGACAGGCGCAGTTCGAAATGGCTTTGCACTGTTGTGGGAGTGAGCGCTGCCGACTTGATTCCCTGCCAATCAAAGCGGCACCCCTCATTCTCCTGGAATTCTGCACAGCAGAGGTGTGGAGTCTACATGGCGAAAGCATATTGGACTTGCTGGAGGAAGTGCGGAAGATTACAATCACACACACCTGTGTTGCGTGGTGCTTTTGAAAAATACATTAATGATGATGATAGTAATAATAAATGCATTCATTTCAGTGAATTGATTCCTACAATGGTTCGAAGGGTTTGATGCATGCTGATGTCATTTATGAAGGAAATACATGCGCCACACATAACAGCGGAGCGCAGATTGATTGCACCTGTATCAAGTCCACCAAAATCACATTACACCACCTGCGCCACAACTTAGACCTGGTTTTACCTGGTCGAAAGTCTACTCTACTTTCTGTCATCAAACCGTCAGGTGAGCCGGTGATGTGTAAACAGAAAAAGGCCTCGGTCTACCAGAATGCCAAACGATGCGTAGCACTGGCTACCAAATAGCCAAACACGGCAAGCTGGACTTGCATTGGCAGAAAATGAGGACGGGCCAGTTTTTACGCCAAGCGCACGTGCACCTGCCTACGAACATAGGGCCCACAATTTGGTTGGCATACCTGTATCTATCATGATTAGACCCACAAAACAGTCTCAAGTAACCATGCCGGAAAAGATACAGGATGTCTGCCATTTTGGTTTGAATCGGCCATTTTCGGGCAACCTTTTGGCCATTCAAAACTGAACTCCTGTAGATTTTGTCCAATTGTTAACAAATTCGTGTACAAGACTGATGGACAACTCTAAACTGCCAAAAAGAAGTTAGTTTTCATTATTGTGTTGAGAATACCTAGGAGTGAAGTTTGATGACTTGCCATGAAACATGACTTTTTGAAAATTCAGCCCGCAATGCTAGTTAACTAAAACTAGCAACATCAAATTTGGTTGGCATGTCTATCATGAGTAGGCCCAGAAACAAAGTCTCATGAGGGCATGCCTGAAAAGACGCAGCAAGTCAGCCATTTCGGTTCAAAGCCATCTATTTAGGGGTCTTTTGAAGAGGAACTAGTCAGAGAGTTTTTTTGCAAGCAAACGGTTTGATGTTAACGCAGCTTCACCAGCACACTCTAAACTGCCCCTCTTCAAGTATCGAGCACCTGTTGTAACAAATGAATGCATGACTTCACTCTTCAAAGTACATTCACAGGTAAGTGGTCCACTCCGCATTTGCCGTATATGCTGCTCACACAATGTTGTACACCAGAATTTTAGGCTGACCTGCAACACCCTCCGCGACATGTTTAGCATTGTTCATTGTCATTAAATTCTATATAGAAAATAGTTGAGCGAGTTTGTTGTGGTCTACTCACGTCTGTGAATGAGCATGAGCATCATGTAGCAGGGAGGAGGAGAGATGCCAGTGCTTGGGGGAGGTATCAGCGGTGAGAAGTGTGAGCCTGGCTCTGTCTGCCTGGGTGGTGGATCTTTTCCAGCTGTGCCCATCTGAGGAGAAAAGCAGACGTTAGCTTGCGGCCTCCACGGTCAACTGCTTCTCTGCAAGAGGTCACTGTGATCACAGACTTGTGATGGAGCCTATGGAGCACTCCTGCCTGCTTTGTAAACACGACTTGTTTGGTTTGTTAAGAGACACTTTTCGGGAAGTTGGAGTGGGAAAGCAGTGTGATGGTGTCTGTAAACTATACTGTACTAAAGGACTATCAGGGAGGTATACGCACGCCGCTTCAGCTTGTTAAACGCTTGTTGATGCCTCAGTAATATTACAAAGATGGAAAAAACACACTGTAGTGATATGAGGGTGGGGGGTTATGACAATAAACTACGTAATAAATAGTAATAGAATATTTTTTTCAAAAAGTAACTTTCAATTTCCTGATACTGAAGTCATATTAGGAGCAAAATGTCACAAGTTGAAAAGTTCAAATTTGAGCAGAATCAAGATCATGATTTCTCTTCTTGAGAAGCTCTTTTATATTTAGTGAAATCAGTTAAAGAAAAGCCCGACAATGAGTCAGTTGTGCAGTCCCAACCGAGGTGTCGCTTCGGTCCCCTGGAGCCGCAGCAGAGCCCGAGGAGACGCGCTATTGATCGGCGGGGGCCAAGAAAGCGAGCCACCATTAAAGTCGTGACAGTGGAACTGCGCCTCATCGATCCTGTCCTATTATTAATGGAGGAGGGCTCCACCACTGCGCCCCCTTGATGCTTCCCACGCTGACAGTCAGACAGATTACACCTAACACAATTATGATTGATATTATCACATTACGCCTGCCATAACAAGATCCCTTGTCGAATTCCTCCGCTGGGAACAAGGAAGTCTGGGTAGGGACAGGAACTCAAGTCTTGGAAATACTGTTGTATAAAAGCACAATTGAGAATGTCGAAAAATAAACTCACTCAGACAAACACGCATACACATAGAGGAGTATTTGTGTACTTTAAGGGGCGTGGCCTCGTGAGTGATATCAGCTCTGATTACAGTTCAGGTCGGCCGTTTAGTATGTGGTTAGTTCAGTGTGCGCATCTGCTCCATGCTCCTTGCACGTGCTTTCATTTTGTTTCGTGTGTTCTCTGCAATTCCTGGCAAGGCACGGTCACTACGTGCATGTGACTGACGCCCTCGAAATTACTTAAAAGGTGAATAATTGCCGAGAGATGCCACAAGATGGTGGCATCTCTACATTTGTCTGTAAGAAGCTACTTAGCTCAGGGAAAAAGATTGCTTTGCTGCTATCTCGCGGCATGTTGATGTTTATCAAGTGTGGAAAGGAGCTTTGTTTAGTCAGGCCATAGCCTTGTTTAAGCAAAGACAGAGCTTTACCGCCATCTTCTGGCATCGATAGGCAATTAGAAACCTTTTTGGGTGGGTGTCAATTCCTTGCTGATTTTCGCCCAGCGGCGGCAGGGCTCGGCCCCAACAAATGTTCTTAGTTTGTATAAATCTAAAAGATTAGGTAGAGGGCTAAGATAATATAAACCACTCTTTAGCTTAACATTTTATTGCGCGCCATTCATCACCTCAAAACATCGTATGTCGGCATTGTCGTAAACCAAGGACCCCGTGTCGACTTAGACTGTACCGATCATGAGTGCATAAGTGAGAGGCTAAGTGTAATTGCAAGTACATATTTCCTCGTAAGCCATGAGGAGAACATTAAAGCTCTAATAAGAATGTTAGTTTTGCTAATGAATTGGACATTAAAAAGGAACTACGGCGCAGATGCCGATTTAATCCAATTTGTAGCAATTTGCTGTGACAATTGGAGTCTGAAAAATTCTGGGGGGGAAAAAAAAAAAAACCCTGGCAGTTGTTAGCACTGGGCCATAAATCGCCGTCATCTTAACAAGACAAGACGGGAACCAATGTTAATGTATTTATTTATTTCTTTATTTTTTAGAGCCGACGATCACTGAAAACTGAGTGGAAAATGAATTTGACTGGGGTTGTCGTTACACTTTAGACCTCATAAGGAGTGACTTCTTCCGTCACGCTAATCCAATTGGCAGTCACAATGATCTCCACGGAGGGCACGACTTCTGAGCCGTAAAGGAGGCGCTCCGAGGGCCAGCCTCACATGCAAGCCGGGGCCAATGTATGTCCCTGTAATTGAATAATAAACAATGCCCAAATCGCATTATAGTCATCCTCTGTAATTGCATTAGAGGAAACCACATAATAATAACGTAAAGAAATGGATTGAGAGCCGTATGTTGGTCATGGGCTACAGTGTGTTACTTCGGCAGGACACAATGGACGCTTCACAGTATACACGCAAAACAGGTCAAAGCGTCAATGCAAACATGCGGGATTCAGTGTTGTCTTTGTGCAACTGCAAGCACACTCGTAGCTTTCTTAGTGTCGCCTTAAGGTGTTTATACTGATGCAAGAGAAGCTATTGCTCACCTCAAGGGCTGAAATACAGTCAACTCTCACCAATTTGCGTTTTTTGGTTTTTTTTTTTGGGTGCTCTTTTTGGAATGCCTTAAGATGCCACCAAAGCCCAGGCTAGTCATAAAGTAGCAATTGGTGTCAAGCACAGTATCATCAAGTGATACACGTCGACTCTTCTAAGATCTTTGTATGTGTTTGTGGTAGTTGCGTGGCTCTAAAAAGCTCAGGCGAACAAAAATGATGAACCGCGTCACCCATACACGAGCATGACCATCAGGCTGTAGCCAATTAGAGCACGCAAGGGAATCTGTGGGAGGGGTTTCGATACAGTCGTCACTCAGTATTGCTGCTCGAATGATGGATGTGTAAATGAAAAAATCTCTAGGCTCTATCCGTCCAAACATTTTCTTCAGCAATTCCCTGTTTTGTTTTTGTTTTTTTTAATACCACATCATAATTGACTTTAAAATCCTGTCCAAGCAGGTAAGACCTGCAGTACAAGTATTCATTGAAGAAAAGAAAACAAATCTCACATATATCAAGTGTCTGCAGTAAAAAGCAGGGTGTGTATTACAGCACATTTGCCATAATGGCTTCTCCTCATCGGTGCTATTTGATGACATTTTTCTCCAACATTTATGCTCAACATATGGCACATATTACATTACGCTCATATTGTCTTTTGGCCATATCGCTTTCCTTGTGCTTAACGTGGTGACATATGCTCCATCTTAACAAGTGCTCTTATCACACCAGCAAGTGGAAGACTCTCACTCGCGGCAATTGGCTTTCAGCACGCGGCTTATAAATAAAACAGAAAAGCATGACCCTTCATTGAATTAAGCTACAAGTGTGGATATTTGGACCTGACTTTTATAAACATGGAATGCATCCCCGTAATGAATGGGGGGATCACTGTACATCATTTCATAATAGAGGTTGAATCTTCAGCCTTGTCACAAATACTGGTGGGAAGCAGTACTGTCCAGCTGGATAAAAAGCAGAAACAGCTCTTGCGGGCCCAACAAAAGACACGATGTGGGCATTTCATTGCGCCATTGTGCGATGATGGCTGGCGGCCGCTGTGAATGTATTTATTAGTTTGCAATACATGTCTTTTCCTGTTGTCGCCGAGCCCTGCCAGGATAATGTCGCTTTTTGTCCCCCCCCCCCGCCCAGTGTGAACGGCGCCTCGGCTGCCAGCTGTCAGGCCCGATACCGTCTCATTTGGATTCCCAGCCCGCTCGCTGAATGCCTAATTAGATTTGCCGTTTTCAATGGGCTGATTGCTCTACAAAGGCGCCGACAGCATGTCGCGCTCACGTTTCACAACTGTAACAATTAATAACCATGCTAATTAGCATTGCGCGGCTGCCGCAATTGATTATGATGCCACTCCATCAACACGTGCGGATTGTTATTAATAAAGTGCTCTTTTCCCGATCCGGAGGCCGGTTATTAATTACGTAAATTAGCAGGGTAGCAATGGTAATCGAGCAAAGCGCCAATATTTGATCTAATTTTTAGTGACCGCTCCCACCGGGACAATGTTACACACCCGTCCCCCCGAGCGAAGAAAAATCACCTCATTAGCAAAAGTTTAATCCACATCATAGTTGTTAAACACGGGCCAGCTTTAAGGTCATATCTGAATGTCGCAATCATTCGCTATTGATCGGCTGTAAATGGAATCAATGTCATGTTTGGAGAAAACAATAGCGACTAATGGATGGGCTGGAGAACCAACAACTTTATCGGATAGGAGACGTAACAGTGTGGACTCTTCCACTTTCATAACTCATTATGTCCATAGTGAGAAATGTCAAGACGTGGACAAGCAGCAGCAATAAGCAGCAGCGGCAATTAGGAGAGATGGGATCAAGTCACGTGCGCAAATCTCAGTAAAATGTTATGGATTGTGGGCTTTCTAGTCAAATTCCACGATTAATTTATAATGCACTATAATTTCTACAGGTAAGGCTGCCAATCACAATTAATTTGAGCAATATGTAATCACGATTAATGTAAGATTTAATTTTTTTTTTTTTTTTGCCTTGAGTATCAGTGGCTGGTCTCGGCAGCCTCCGCTATTTACGATACCCAAAATGAAGGCCAATATCAGACCGATAGCGCTATCTTAATTAGTACACATAAACTAAACCGACTAATTAATTAATTTGTTATGTTGATTTTTAAAATATTTTTTATGTATTTGCAATGGATCGCAATGGATTATGCTGATGCTGTTTCTGGAGTTCATGTGAGTCAGCGAACGTCCAATTCAATGAATTAAGTATGATACTAGTAATGCATACTGGTCAAGCTCTATATTTTGAATTTCTGGAAGGAGTTTAGATCAACTGACACATTACATGACAGAGCAGGCAGGCATGTTAAGAAAGCTTTACAACACCCAACTGAAAGATGAGTATAAACATTTATTCTGCCAAAAAGTCTTGCAGATGAAATATTTGATCAGAGAAGACACTTGGATACCCGAAAACACGGAGAGAAATTGCAGGTCACAGTGGCTAAGGTAGCTTTTTTTTGTGTTTAGATTCTAAGTTTGTATGTATATTTAGGAAAAAAAATAAAAAATCTTCCCACTTTCCAACACGGCCTCTTTGCACTTTAACAAATACGCATCACATTTCTATTTCCCCACCTGGCACCACGGCATCCATTTTCATCATCCGGAGTGTGTGATATTTCACACTCATTGTTCACAACACACCGTTTAATATGCAGTGCACCCCCCCCCGACCCCCCTCACTCTCTCCTCCCACAAACGACATCCCCATCCGGCATATGAAATCCTTCCATTCTTGTCTACCAGCGAACAAAAGATGCAGCCAATCATCAGCAAGCCATGGCAGATACAATTTTCTCAGAACAATTTGACCGCGTTAAGAGGAAAATTGCTTTCAATATAGGTGCTTTTCTTTTTGAAAGACAACAACAATAAAAAGATAGAACTGTAATACGTCTGTCAGTTCTCGGAAAGGAGGAGGGCATGCACGGTGGGTGTTTGGCGTTGAGGGGACGGATGGTGGTGGGGCGGGCGGGTACTAGGTGCTTACTTGTAATATCAGCATCTGCGCCAGACAGTCGCGCCAAATGAATCCCACTTTCCGCATAACAGCCAGGCGTCACATGAAAACGACTGCGGACGACAGCGGTTGTCAGGTGCACGCTCGCCAGAGCTGACGGCAAAATGTCATTTATTACACGTTGCGCCTCGCCTCTTGTCAGCTTCTCTTGACTGTATTGACTTGCAAAGCGCCGCGTGTTGCGGCGGGCGGGTCGCGCTGAAGCGGCGCTTCGTGGAATGGCATGATGGGGTGGTGTTTTGTTACCTGCCAATACCCTGTGAACGAGGCGGTCAAACACACAAATACAAAATGAAAACGCTGGCAAGGAGCATGGAGAAGATGCTAGCATTGAACTAACCGCAAAGTCAATGGCCAACCGAAGCTGAAGTCGGAGCTCCTAAATGTCACCCACAAAGCCACGCCCCTTAAAGCCACACACCAACTTCAACGCATGAATACTAGTCTGTGTGTGACTTTTAGCGTAACCCTTTCAGGGACAGCGGTTCCTACAGTGGACAGCTTGTTATCAGGTTATGGGGTGCATGAGAGGGTTAATGATAACCAGTTCATATATGTTATTTTTTTTATAGTCTCTGTTTGCATTAATAAGCAAGAGTACCCATAGAAAAACCATTCAAGCACGAGGAGAACATTTTAGACGGGAGGGACGGACGGGACAGACAGTTTGAGTCTATCCCAGCTGACGTTGTGAAAAAGGAGAGATGGATCAATCACAGAGCACATAGAGACAAACAGCCATTCACACTCACATTTACACAGCAGTGTCCAAACTTTTTCTTCTCACTGCCACAATCGGGGGAGGGGGGATCAAAGATGAGGAAAGTAAGGTCTATTTTTACATTCATCACCTTTAATTTATTGAACAAGCTGAAAGAAGTGGAAGTCAACAGTTTCTTGAAGCTTTTCTCTTTCCTTTGTTGCCCCTTTGTAATAATGAGTGTTTTAAATGTTACGCCCCTAAGAGCATTCTCATACTCATTAAGTGGCTGCCTGCAATAATGAAGGCGCGTGGTGCAGCGAGCGCGGCTCTTTAGGTTGACTGCGTTCTCGCAGATGAAGTGAACGTCGCTCCGATTGAGGGCCCGGCTGACTGGCGTTATTGCGCGGGCCCGCCCTGCTGTCATGCCTGTCAAAGTCACGCGGGGATCACTTTATCATCATTTGTCTGTGCCGTCTGACGACATCAAACGGGGGGGGAGAAGAGCCCTTGGGGAAAGGGTTTTTGAGAGGTACGCAAGGATGAGGACACAGCCGTGCTATAGGTACCAAAACAATCTTACAGTTTGGAGAATGAAGTCATAATAATTTGAGGAAAACTACTCCAATTCTCAAGACTAAAAGCAAACATTGTTGCAAGAACAAGGTTCATGGAATAAAACCATAGATTTGATCATTTGAAGACATTAAATGAATTCACACGAATAAAGTTGAAAGTACAAGAAAAAATAAAACTGTCGACTTACGAGTACAGTCACGGTAATTTCGGGGAATAGGTGGAATTGAAGAATGAAGTCACTGATGAGAAAAGTTCAAATTTAAAGAAGTTGCAATATCACAAGAGAACATTTTACGGACTGTATATATAAATAAATGCATTAACAATCAGAATTTTTAAAATGCAACTACATTTTCTTCTTGTGGGATTTCTGTTTTTACCACAATAGAGGGAATACACTTTTTTCCTCTTTTTTTTGGGGGGGGGGGGTACATTTTGCTGTAGCCTGACCACTTCTTGCTTCCTTCTATTGCCCAAAGAGAAGTCAATCCTCAACTCGACTGATTAATATTTGCTTTCAAAATGACACGACGTGATGTATGAGGGGCTCGCCGTGTATAAACGAACGCTTTCGAGGAGATGAATAGCCTCAGCGGAGGATTGTAAAGTTCAAGCGGCAGATTTGCATATTTATATTACACCTTGCTGATAATCAGCCCGGCCGGACCGGATGAGGCCGGGACACAATCATCAATTTGTCATTGTACGATTGTTACATGACAAAAGTAGTTCTTATTAGCTCGCCGCTACCACTGATATGGTTCAATTCCTTGCCACAATGGTTGCGTTAGTGACTTTATATTAAAAAAAAAAAAAACAATTTAGATGATGACAGTGACACTGAAGAACCTGTCAAGGGATGATTCATTCCAGACGCTGCGCACAAAAGAAAACGAAATGTCTGAACGATATAGCGAGTTCAATTTTTGTGAAGTGACAAGACTATATGCACGTTTTTAGACATGTTTGAGCACACCTAATTCTGTACCAAGCTTTTTTCAGTCAACCATTATACTCACCGATACACAACTTGAGGAGGACAGAGGACCTGAGTTTGACCTGTGTTGTTCGCAGAAGAAGGTTGAAACTTTTGGCCGCCTGTGCACATACAAATCAAATCATCTGTAAGCATTTTTTTAAAGGATATTGTTGTAGACGATACTGTGTTAGGTTTTGGGTGAATATGCATCTCGCCTAAAGCCAGAATTACATATGCCAGCTGTTATGTCACAATCCTGCTGAAATGATACACCTCTGGACTAAATTCGGAACAGAAAATTTACAAATAAAATCTATCTAGAAACAAACACACACACACACATACACACACACACACACACACACACACACACACACACACACACACACACACACACAAACGCTATGTCCATATTTAAAGCAGTAGGCAGCATGCGTCTTACCAATGAGTGCCGATAAGTGTCAAAGGTGGTGGTCAATAAAGGGCAAACGGGTGGATGAAACAAACGCACCTTGCAGCCCTCCCACACCGCACCCCGCAATGTCTTAACACCACAGGTGCTGGGCTCCACCCCCCGGGGGTCATACTTAGAGCTGCGATGGGCAATAAAAGCACTTTGCACCTTAAGTGAAAGATACAACTTTCAAATATTTGATACGCATTACGCCCGTACGCAATTTATGCACATCTGGCTTGCGATGAGCAACAACATCTGCTGGCTGGTGCTCTCAAAAGGCACTTATACAGGTATATGTCTAGAGACTGGTCACAGGCCTTTTTGTTGAAAAGGAAGAACTTGACAAATAAGTTATAATAAATAAGCGCATATTACTCAGTGGTCATTCTAAATTCATGAAAAGGAATATGATACAATTATTTATGATATAGACTCGCCAGAGAGCCCGCAGCTCCACTACTTTGCATTAACATTAGTAGCTGCTTAAGGATAGTGCTAACTATTTGGGCCACAAGCGATAAAAAGTGAACCAGAGAGGGAGAAAGTACCTTTTCATTTCTTACCAAATGGTGAGTCCACAGCTCTGCTTCAAGGACTATTTACTATGACGTACATAGCGAGTATTTTCAAACTTTCCATGTTTGTTTAGCTCATTCCGAATCATGAACACTACTGATTGGGAATCATTTTGACTCATGATGGACCAGCAAAGAAGGTTCCTTTTCTGTCAAAAGTCACTTTCAAATGTTCAAGTACTGTCCGAAAGGCAAGTATCCTGTTGATTTTTCACCCATCTAAGGAGGTTCCGATGCAGTCTTACTTGGCACGCATTGTCAGGAAAGAGGTGTGTTAAGGTGTTTGACGGACAATGGTTGTACAGGCTGTTTATCATAAATACAGCCTTAGCCCAGAGAGGTCCATCTGCTTTGATTTTATTTAGTGATTCCCCCCAGGGACTCTCGAGCTGGAGCGAGAATAACAATACTCGGGGCCCATCTGCTTAGGCAGAAGCGGCCCGGCTAAATTACGGCACGCTACGAGCGGCGGGCATATGCCGTGGCATAAAGCTACAAGAGGGCATTGTGTGCCAGCTGTTGTGTTGACAAATACTTATCTGGCACTTCTGAAGTCAGCGCTAAGCTAAGCTGCTAGGTGTGGCGCGGGGTGGCGGGCATGGTGTTTTTCTGCATGCATAATACATGCTAATTTAACAGAGGGTATCACTTTGTAAGAGATTGTCTAGGGATTTGGGTCATGAGATCTACATTATTAATCAGAATTTGTGATCAAAACAAGACTATTGTAAAACACTGCACTTTTGTTGATTAAAGTCTCGAACTTTGAGGACACTTAAATGCGCGCACACACACACGCACGCACGCACGCACGCGCGTGCGCACGCTATCATGACAAGTTAAATACAGCAAAGTGGTAAACTGAATTATGAGCTGATTGACTTAAAAAACGTCCCCTTTTGTTACCGGAAATCAGCACGCTTGTCTTTTCCCATGGGAATAACAAGTACGACAGGGTGGATGGTGGACCCTTCCATTCTCCACCGATGTGAGAAACGCAGCAAGGAACCCGCACGGCTTAATCTTTTCTTATCCTTCTCAAAGAATAACAACCTCTGCTTATATTGTTCTTGTGCATTTACAAGACGGCGGATGATCCCGCTAAACAGGCTTTGACCCCACTCATCCTATTACCAATGAGCTTGACAAGTACTTGCTTTTGTTGTTTGTGGCCCGAGGTACACTGCAGTCTCCCCAGCAATCGAAATTTGCAAATTAATTTGGAACAGCCTTGCCAGAATCCAGACCCAAAACTAAAAGAAAATCACGTGGGGTGACATGATGAAGTCAGTATTGTATTTCTAGCCATTCGTTCAATAAACTAGGTGAACACAATCCCTCATGGGCGTCTTCAGAACATAACCGCCAATGTGTATGAGATATTTCGCCAGGATTTACTTAACTATGACTGGACCTAGGCCCGTGGTGCTGAGCGGCCTGTCCGGCCGGGGCGAGCAAATGCACTTTTCTCAAGGAGCTCATGAAAGAAGACAATGGTGCCTTTGACTGCAGCGTCTCGCATACAACAAGAAACGCACGAGCTGGAGAAGAGAATGGCAATGATTACCATTACGTCACACGGGAAGACACGCAGGCCTCCATCCTTAAAGGCGAATTCTGAGCTTGCTCGGTGACTCTTATGGTATGCAGTCAGCAAAAATTTTCCTCCACCCTGGAGGTAACTGAACTCATTCCAACACGTTGACCAACTGGTCATTCATGCTTACTTATTTGGCTGTTTGTCCTCATGACATTGTGCTTTGCGTCATTAATTAATGTGAAATCGTGTGATGGTTAAAAAACAAAACATTAATTTCAAAGAGAGTGTGCCAAGTCAACTGAATGTAGATATGTATTCCATTTTATGCTGTTTTTTTTACTTTGTGTTGACCTTGATTTAAAAAACAAGAAGTTTTCGGATTACCTCTCATGTCAGAGATTAGACAGTATATATTTATAACAAACATGGCCTGGTGATCATGTCATGTGTATTTACTTTGGTTTCTGCTGACAATTCTAACTAAAGGAAATATGAGTCTTGTGTGGCAGCATGGCTCAGTGGGAGTGGTTGTTTCACACACACACACACACACACACACACACACACACACACACACACACAGACAAAACACAAAGAGCCAAGGCAGCCCATGTTCTCATGACATGTTGGGGAAAAGAAAACAATTAGTTTTCTGCAAATGAAAAGGCAAAAACCTTGATGTAAGAGACATTCACCCCCCCCACACTCCCAAAAAACACTTTAGAAGCTGTTTTGTAAGGAAGTTTAGTGATAAACTCACCTCTAGTATTAATGGGGGTCCACCTGATAAGCCTGGTCAAAATCCACTCACCGGGAACTTCGTGAGATACCTGTTGTCCGATACAAGATCTTTATCAAAAACTCTGCTTTTATAAAACAGAAAAAAAGAGAAAAACTCACCGAACTGCACATTTCTCGCTGACCTGATGCTAAACAAAGTCTCCCACGACAACAGGCCGCGGTCATGTTGCGTCCTTCCAAAACGGCATTTATTTAACGAAACATGTACAGCAACTTGACTGACATCAAATTCCACCTGTTACATTTGGGCACACTAAACAGACTGGACAGAGAAATCACTTATTTAAAAAAAAAAAAAATTGAGAAAGAAAAAAAAAAAAACAAAACTCATCTGGTTCTATCAATGTCGCCTGAAAGGAATCAGTGGCGGGACTCAGCAGTGCGGTAAAAGGGTCCCTGGAACAGTGCAAACCACCAGAAAAGGAGCCTCGTCTCAAAACAGTTCTGCCCGACACATTTATCTACATCCATTTCAAAAGCACTTCATTCAGGATTTTTGGTGGCTTTTTAAAAAAATTAATTGAATTACACTGTTTCCTCTTCAATAGCTTCCAAGTGACCAGCCTTGTGCCAGTAGTTGAAAACCTGACAGCATCATCATCATCATCAACCCTGCTTTATTTCCTTAAAAGGGACAAACATGATTAGATTAAAATAAATAATATCAACATTTGATCACATCTCTTTTGTTGAATTAATCTGCTGTGTGTCACATCTTGGAGAAAGGCGGTGAGTCGGGGCCCGGACTCTCAAAAAGGCCTCGTAAACATAAAGACGCACAGGACAAATACTGTTCATGTTAGAAGCCCACGCCCCGCTGGGGGTGCAGATTTGCATTCTGTAACACACACACACACACACACACACACACACACACACACACACACACACAAAAATGCATCCCCTGACCAATAAATTAGCTCTCCCTCATAACTTCCACTTTAAGAGGACTCAGAGCCAAAGTGCAGTTTTTCGCAGGGAGGAGAGCGGGACTGGGGTGGGGGTGTAAATGTGCAGTCAAACGGTTAGAATGGCTACATTGGTTTCTGCAACACCCAAACTGTGACCGGGGTTCCTACAGAACAGGGTCACGAGAGCGCGAGACGCATAGTGCGTACCGCGTCACTTCTCTAATGAGGTGTTATGAAGCATTCCAGCCTTTCCCGGTGGTTAAGACTAGCGGGACTTCTCTTGCTTTTCGCCCCCCACCCCCACCCCACCCAACCCCTGTGCCCTCGAACCCTCCACAGCTCGCTCCATCTTTTAAATCCTTCTTGAGCCTTGCAAAGGCTCGGCTGAGCGATAAGGAGAATCTATGTAGGATGACATGAAGAACAGAACACTTGAACGAAAGCACAGTGCAAATAAAGCACTCCCTCCCTCCCCCCTACACACACACACGCACACACACACACACCCACGCACGCACGCACGCACGCACGCGCACACACACACACACACACACACACACACACACACACACACACACACACACATCTTGACAAGAGTGGCGAGGGTTAACTCCAAACTCGGCAAGCCTTTCTTCTGTTTAGTTTATTTTTTCATTGTGGGTCTTTCTGGGAAGTCTGCAGCCCTGAGGGAGGGAGGGGCGTGGCGTAGTGGCCGCAGGGCTGGAGGAGGATGACGACGGAGAGGATGGAGGGTGTTTCATGTGGCGAAGTGAGGGCTACTTGTACAAGCTCATGGTAGGGCTCTGGTACATGCACATGTAGGCGTCGCACAGCAGCCGTCGGGCCTGGCCTTGAATGCTCTTGGGGTCGAGCGCGTGCAGCTCCTCGGGCGTCATCTTCAGGTAGGCCTCCACCTCAGGGCACGGCGACACCTGCGGAATGTTGAAGCCGTTCTGGCCTCCTGCCGGAGCATAAGCGGGAACAAAATGAATAACATTGTTTAATGTGTTTGTAAATCTTCATCTAATTTCCTTGGCACGGTTGTGATGGTGTGACAAAAAAAGTTGGGTGAGCAACAAAATGCAGACACTGCTCTTTGAACCGGTGGAGACATGGAGCAAAAAGACACTTTTAATTGCTTGCAAATAAACAAATAAAAAGATTGGAATCTCGTTTTTTATTCTCCTCCTACAGTGATAGGGCAACTAAGATTTTTTTTTTCCATTTTGATAAAAAATGGTTGATTATGTACATTTCATAATTCTATTATTTTATTCTGATTGGATATTTTTTCTTTAGTTTCATTTCAGTGATTTTAATTAGAAACAAATTAATTTACTTTACTACATATAACACTGGCCTAATACTACTACAGTTACGTAGGAATTTTTGAACAAAATGTTTAATAACCCAATTTTTTTCCCAATTCGTTTAAAATGACAACAGTAAAATATGCTATCAGGCAACAATAAGTTAGATTATCTATGACTAGCATTGTATTTCTATATGGTGAGCAACATAACTGTGCTCTACAAAATGTGTCCAGAGTATTTTTTTCAGATGCAATGCAGCATTTTCAAAAATATATTATGTACTATATATAATATTAAAAACATTATTAATCTCAATTGTTTTTCCAATGAGTCACCTGTTTATCAATACTAACATTAAAATATGAATACAATCATGGCAATAACAATAATAAGTTATTTACAGTGTATTTGTTTCAGTAAATAGTTTCTCAAGTTTTACGGTCACATTGCTATTATATCAATTGCTGTCACAGCAGCAGTAAAAATAAATACATAAATAAATTAAATAAAAATCAGTAACATTCCACTCCAGCGTATCATAAAAGGTTGATAAGCGTCAGAACCGCAGCTTACCGTCTCGGTCGGCCATGCTGTCGAAAAAGAGCCAGGTGGAGGCGGCGCTGCCGTACTTGACGAAGGCCACGTAGTGACTGGTCTCAATGCACAGCACGGCAAACAGCTCCATCGTCTGGCGTGGGAACGTGGCCTGGCGTCCACCGCCTTCTTGCAGCTCCTTGGGGACGCACAGCTTGCCGTGCCGGTGACTTTTTCTCCTCGGGTGAAGGTGAACCTGAATGGAGTACGAACGTGCGACCACCACTGAAGCCAACAGAATCTCATTTACACAAACGGTGTCGCTGCAGGATTAAGAAAGCCAAATGTAAGACCTGTTGGATCAAATTCAAGACCTCTCATTCACAAAAAAAAAAATGGAGGAGTGGGTTATATTGGCTCAATGTAAATTGCAATATTTTCCAATTTTAAGATTGATTTAATATATTTTGTTAACATGTTTGGTTTTTTTCTTCATATATTATATGTTTAATAGTATATTGTATAGGCTCCAGCACACCAGCTAAACCTAATGAGGAGGCGCCATACAAAATGGATGGATGGATAATTCTTAAAGATAATTTAGGACCTTCATTTTATAAACTCAAAGTCAAATATGAGACTTTGAAGGATCTGCATATAAATACAGATTAAGACCACAAAATCATTTTGCAACTTTTGTCAGTAAAGTGTAATATCAAATCAAATGCAGCCGCGACATCTACACCACCTTTATTTCTTTGTATTTGGCGCCATCACATGGCCAATCCATTTTAACAGGCATGGTTGGACCGATTTAATTCAAGTCCACCACGGTGTACATATGCAGCAAAGCAAATTGCACAACAGTAACTCCACAAGCAACACTTTGCAGCAACAATAACAGAAGTGACTAACACGATATAAATAATAGAAGTATTAAAGGTCAAAGAGTTTCATTGGCCTGAGCTGACTCTTCCCGCAATTGATTTAAGAGTTAAGAGTAATGTACACATCACTCCACTAGCCACCATCTCATTATTTTTGCTTATTTAATGATGAACACACCTCTAATGTATTATATGGAGACTATACTTGATTGTCTGAGTTTGATGTCATTTAGATTTACAGCATTTGTTTTTTTTTGTTATGTTTATTTGTGTTGCTTGGGTCACCGACAGGTAATATCCTGATAACATCAGGCTAGCATATATGGAGTATACCCGATCTCCATGTTTACAGTGTCCTCACAATGGTTCGAGATCAGATTTTTATCCACATTTGATTCCAATCTGAAGATATCAGATTCCAAGCGTTGACACATATTTCACTTGTGTCACTTGAGAGCAAATAAAAATGGGAACTGCATCACTGTAATCATGCACTGTAAATCTAGCCCAAGAAGAGCAAGGAGCCATGTGAGTATTAAGACGCATTTTTTTTACCTGCGTATTGCACTTTTCGCAGAACTGCTTAATCTTGCCCGCCGTGATGTCGCCGTCATCGTAGCAGTCTCTGCACTCAAAGAGGGCCAGGCCTCCGCAGATGCGGCATTCTCTGGGAGCTGGATGGTTAATCAAAAAAACATTTTTTTTTAAGTGGCTTTGGCGTTCGCGTGTAGACTGCTTCATTTGGCTCGTGGTGACAGCTTTGGAGTTTCATTCCAAAGTTAACAGAAAGAAGGCAGGACAGGAATTGATCGTGAAGAAGACGCACACGCGCACACGCACATAAAATCACTCGGCTCGAACTCACTGTCTTCCAGAAGATCTGTGATGTCTAATTCCAGTGAAGGGAAAATCTTGTTAAACATTTTGAAGTCCTTGCCAAAGCGGGGCATCTGGATGATAAGGCAGGAGGGAGCCTGAGGGCCAACAAAAACAGAGGAGAGCAAGAGCTTATTATCATCCTGCACAAAAGCAACACCAGCCAGAGCGGAGGGGTGTTTACGATTACAACACGCATGACCAATCTGTCTCGCATGCTGCGTTTCTTGTTTGAAGCAGATATCTGATCAGTGAGGGAGGCTGCTTTACATCTAGGATGTGTCGTGTAGGACTGTGGCATTTAAGACCACATAGTCGTGAGATCCACTGATGGGAAAACGGGACTCGGACACAGACGACTCTATCAGTGGGAAAATGCTTCCACTTGCTCCTCCGCCCCATTGCCATCCTGACTGATCATTGCACAAGGGACATAGGCACCAGAAATAAATGGTCAAAGACAACCACGATATCCCATGTTGACATCTCAAGTAGAGCGAGACTTCTCACGCCTTCGTCAGTCAGTATTAATGCTACTATGTAGTGTTTTGATATTTGCTGTCTTTGGAGCAGTAGGTGGAGTACACCCTGAACTGGTTGCCAGCCAATCGTAGGGCACACATAGACAAACAATCAATCGCGCTCACAATGACACTTGAATGCAATTCAGACCAGCGGTCTCAAACTCAATTTATGTGGGGGCAGGTGGAGATAAGATTCTGGGTGTGTCTGACCACATCAATACCTTTTTTTTTCCCCTTTCATTTGTTTAACTGAAATCAACTTTATATTCTCCAATACAGGAGAGAAAATACATATTTTGCTGTGAAGCATAATATTTAACCACATTTTCTCTTCACAAATACAAGAAACATACATGCATTTTTTTTATATTTTATTTGAAAAAAACGGGCATCCTATAGCTCAAAAACTTGACATGCTAGAGAAAAACTGAGATCAGTTTTGAATTCCGCGCACAAAAATGATTTAAAAACACTCAATGTAAATTGTGTCACACACTCACTTGTGTAATAATCATAATACATTTAATTTTAATGGGTGTTAAATCAACCAAACGATTTCATAGCGCAACACTTAAATGAGATGAGAATGGGAACTTAGCTACGTTGAAAGGAAGCTAGGCAATAATAATTTACGATACACAGCCAATATTATTATACAATATATAAAGCTTGATCGTAATTGTGGTCACATTTAAGTTGGAACAACAATTTACTAATAGCAATCATGGTGGTAACAAAAGGACATTTGTGCGCATGCATCACACTATGTGCACTGAGGTTACTTACGGCTGTTGGTGGTAAGTGATGTAATGATCAGAATCTGTTGCGGCGTGCTTTTCCCCGAGTATTCTTCCCACTCAACCATAGTTACACAAGTCGAACAAGGTTACGTAACATTGATCCAACTTAGCCAACATTTTTGGAAGACTCACCTCTGCAAACTTGAGGTCGCTGTTGATGAAAGACCACTCCAGGAGCTGCTGAATAGTGGGAACATCAACTTTGTCTTTTTTGTCCATAAAGATCTGGTAAAAGTAACAGTCCTGCACCTTCTGTCCCGCTGACCTGTACAATTAATATGATAAGATTCAGCGACTATGTCTCTCAGCTGCCACCTTCTTCTACTATGAGCTTGCATTTCATCAGTGTCTACTGAGATATAGAAACAACATTCATGCCACTAGGTGGAGCCCAAGCTCAGCAACACTTACCTTAGTTTGAGCAAAGGGTCTACCCGCAGTATGTGATGGAACAGTATATTGAGGAACTCCTCTGGATCTGCAGTACAAGATGTGACTCATTAAGGAAGAGGAGAATCGGAAGAGTAAACGTATGCACAGATGTTAAGACCTGACCTTTTTCTTCAGAGGTGAAGCCAGACGCAGCTTCTACTTTCTCCAGGATCCTCCTGAGTTTCATCACTTTGGTGGCGCACACATACCCATGTCTGAGTGAGAACCGGAAGCATTTGATTGTCTGGATAACAATAGGCAAAAAGAAACCTTTGCTCATCACACTCACATGCGCAGCGGGTTGACTATCTCAGTGCGTAACAGTTCTTGGGTCTCTCTGTAATACTCCACATCGGTCTTTGAGCGCGGCCTCAGCAGAACTGTGTCCAGTACAGAGCTGAAGGAAAAGAGACTGCACAACGGAGATAAGTTCAGTATTGCTGTTTTGACGGTACAAAATTATCAATAAATCAACCAATACCCAGGAAAGTCTGATGTGGTACATACAATGTCACATTAGACATGCAATCCCCTCAGAATCTAACATAAGCTTTTGTTATTTCTCTACAGGACCAATTAAATCTTAAAGCATAAGGTTCCATGTGGTTTGGATTGAAAACCCTTTGGCGGTATAACAGCCAAAGTCAAAACAATTTACTAATCAAGCTCTGCCTCAGGGCACTGCCGTTGAACAAGCATGTGCTCCATCGCCAATAAATATGACAGAAATCCAAAGAATGAAGGGTTGGTGTGAAATACAAAAAAAGGGATGCTGACCAGAAGAGGGTCGAATCCAAGTAGCACGAGTTGTAGTGACCCTGGATGCCTTTCTTCTTGCCTACCATGACATCGAGGCCATCCGTCTCACTGCGGGGCGGCGTGTTCTCGTGTACGATTTCGCTTAAGTAGCCCCCGAACGCTGTGTGAAGGGACACAGTTACAAGATGGCTTACTTTGTGCTCTTACATCTTTTTTACTCTCATATCTGTGCCAGAAAATGTGTGCAATTACAGAGAATATCCGTCTGAAAAATACTTTTAGGTCATAAATAAGACAATCACAACCAGGAAGTAGGGCGGAAATAGAGCATGCTTTCTTTAAATATGTAACAATGTATTTTTACGCTGCTGCAAAACCTTTTTCCGGTAACTGTGCGCCGTTCCTAACCATGAAAAGTGTCACGTGGAGACCAGAGTGAACAAAGAACCTCCTTTTTATGTATATTAGGTTCAGGGAAGACCTTAACCCTCGTGTTCACCTCAAGGGGTGATTCATTCCAGTATTGCTCTTCATAATATCCAATCCAACCCAAACCAAGTCTCATTTTAGTGCTGTGCTAAGCATGATTACTGTAGACGCCCTGATTGTCCGTTTACTGGACAGGGAAGTTCCTCTCTTTTCCAGAGTTACAATAGAATTAATTGAACAGGAAGGACACAAAAAAGAATGGGCCATGTCATGCGCGGTTTAGGTGGTATGCAGTGATGTCACGTAATTTACATAGCTGGCAACGGAATCAACATTGTGCTGCTTAATCAGGATTTACCTGATCCAAACCAAAATGTACTCACTGTGTGGAGAAAAAGTGGCTTAAATTGTCCATGGCTGTCAATGTGAGCATGAATGAATGGGTTGCCTGTCTCTCTCTATAGCCTCTTTCACACAAGACGACTGGGGAAAAAGGCTTTTATACAGGCAGTGTGAAAGGGGCTTCGGATACTACCTCCAAAGACGAGAAATTACCCTGTCGGCTGTGTCACCCTATTCTGTGCCTAAATCAGATGGAAAAGGCTCAGATTAGCACTGAAGATAAATTGATGAGGCGGCCCGGTGGTCCAGTGATTAGCGCATCAACCTCACAGAGCAGAGGTCGTGGGTTGGATCCTGACTCTGACCTTCCTGTGTGGAGTTTGCATGTTCCCCCCGTGCCTGTGTGGGTTTTCTCCGGGTACTCCGGTTTCCTCCCACATTCCAAAAACATGCATGGCAGGCTGACTGAATGCTCTAAATTGTCCCTATGTGTGAGTGAGAGCGGATGGTTGTTCATCTATTTGTGCCCTGTGATTGGCTGGCAACCAATTCTGGGTGTCTCTCGCCTGCTGCCCGAGGACAGCTGGGATAGGCTCCAGCACCCCCCGGGAGCCTTGTGAGGATAAAGCGGATCAGAAAATTGATGGATGGATGGATGGCTGGCTAAATGGATGACTCACCAATAGAGTTACAGCGCTCAATGGGGTTGGAAGAGTGATGCAGCGATGGGAAGCGGGAGTCGGGCCGACAGCACTTGAGCTTCACGAAGAGGGCCTTTTTAGGCGGACAGCTGAAGTAGCGTGTACCTTTGAAGGTGCCGTCAGTGCAACCTGGGCACTCCTCTTCCTGAAATATGTTTTGGAAAAAAGAACAGCCACGCCAATGAGTACTTGGGATAACTTGTGTGTGCTCATGGAAGATATGATTTTCAAACCAAACACATAGATGACGTTAAAAAAAAAAAAAAAAAAATCTCGTCAAAACATGTACATAAAATATGTACTTAATTGTGTGTGTGTGTGTGTGTGTGTGTGTGTGTGTGTGTGTGTGTGTTGTGTCAATAATACTGTATGCAGCTTTTTTCCCCCCATAACTGTTGTTGATTGATATTCTCACTAATGCTATACTATGCCCACCGATGGTCTATCCCAATGGTGTTGCTATGTGTTCTCACCAGCTCCAGACCGGCCAGTGGCTCCAACAAGCCTGGAGGGAGACCCACCCAGCGGATGACACCGCATAGAGGGGGATTCTCTTTCACCTCGACCAGGGAGCCCACCTCAAGACCTGGCTGCCCCCTAGTAGGTGTTGCTGGCCGCGGCGAAGATGGGGCAGTGGGCGAGGGGGCATCAGCCTGCTCCCCCATTACCGACTGGACGGACAGGGAAAGGGGGCCCTGGCTCATGTTGTCGATGGGCCCGCTCTTGCGGTTCAGACTGAAGGGCAGCGAGTGGAACTTGTTGTCACTCGCCAACGAAGCGGTCGGCGGCGCCCTAATGGGCGGGGGCGACTGGTTGAAGTCGGGGGGAGTTTCGGTGAGAGATTTTGCAGGGTCCTCCCCAACTGAAGGACAGACAGAAGACGTTCAATGTAAAAGGAGGCAATGAAGCAACATTTTAACCTCATTTTACAATTGACAACTACAAGATACAGTAAACGGAAAACAAAGATGATAAATTCCATGTCTGAGATGAGTTGCCATTGTGATGCTCTTTAACACTATCTGGAGGTGACTGGAGAATGTCATGCACCCTGGCAGCTGGTTTGCATGACATTATGATGACCATGTAGGGCATGTGTATGGTTCGACTCTTCGACTCATTGCCTTCCTGTCTGAGGGTTGCATGTTCTCGCCAAGCTAACGTGGAATTTCACCAGGTATTCTGGCTTCCTCCCAAATTTTAAGAACATGCAAGTTGGGTAATTTGACCCTCATTCCGTCTTTTGGCACTTTAGTGTGTCATGTGCAGCATTAGGCAAAAACATCCTCCACTGTATGTAGAACAATGAGGCTTTAACTGTTGAGTCCAACTCAAAATGTACACCGCCCTAATCAAGATTGAATTAAAAAAGCAGCACTCTTCTGCATCGGCAGTTCAGATATGCTAATGAGAACGTGCTAGATAAGTCACTAAACTGTGATTCATAATTCAAGTCAACAACTTAAGGAGGTCACCACCTGTTTGTGAGTCACTGCTGACATTCACATTAGAGGACTACATAATAATGTCGGTGAGAATAGATGCAAAAGAACACTTGTTGCCACACTGAGACAAGGCATTTATGAAATGAAAAACACGTCATCAAATCGACACATCACATCATGACATAAGGACTGAACTTCTCTGGAAAGTATGGGTAATATATGAGGGGAAAAAAATCCCAACACCAATGCAAATACAGGAACAAGACAATGTGCAGCTCTGACATCAGACTTTTACAAATGCTTTGGCCACTAAATAGTTTATCTTATAAATATTTCAGCAGTTATGGATTAATCTGCAGCACTAAGCATTAATAAAAGCCTTTTCATCAACACCAATCTCACCATGCAAGTGGAATGTGACGCGAACAATGGTGATTAAGGGGACGGGACGGCTGGGAAGGTCTTGGTGGCAAGCTACTGCGACTGACTGAGCATGTTGTAGCCTACGTGAATGGAATAGTATGATTTCATGTCGCAACATAAAGCGAGCGCAGTTCACAATCCGTAAATATTGAACAAGTTCCATGAAATCATTTGAAAGCCCCACGTTGCAATGACATTCGTGTCAATTGGGAATATCGATCCAGTTCTCAGTTTCTCCGGTATTTTCTCAAATAGTGGCATCATCTCTTATTTAGATAAACAAGGGCAGAGAAATAAAAATAAACGGCTCGCTGAACACATCCCAAATCACATCAGGAAAAAAAAAAGTGTTTTAATCTGTCAGATTCTGTTGCTTGCACACGGATATTATAGCAATACGCTCTTGGCAGAAATTCAAATTGAATAACTAGAACTTATAATAGAGTTGTGTTTTTATAGCATGACAATTTAGAGTGCCCAAACAGTTACTCTTATGCTTGTCTTCATTTACAATTCGTGTCGCACTTTCCAAAAAAGAAAAAAAAATTAAATGCTTATCAATGTAACAATATTGTCGTAAATGTAATTATAACGCGGAATTCATTTTTGAGAATATTTCATTCGAGGGAGAACTCCCTGTTAGCAGTTGGTTTATTTTTTGTTTCACACAAAAGAAAAGCAGTTTTGTTTTGCATTTTTTTTCCCTTACTGTACCCAATGTGAACCAATCTGCTGCCTTGCAACCAAGGTATGTACACACAACCATGATTTTTTGGGTGCACTGTATACCCGAAGGATTTCCCTATAATAGTCTATTTTAATGTTGAACAATAATACCAATAACATCGTTTATCATTCCCTAAAAAAAAAAAATCTTCACAAATAATAGATGCCTGTCCTTATTTGCAATTGAGTAAAATACTACTACCCCTTACAGTCTTTGTGGATATGCAAATACTTATAAAGGTTATTTATTACGGAAAATTACAAACACCTTTCTGGAAAAAGCCAAAGAGATGCTTGTTCGGAAACAGTAGCTTGCCAGCAAGACCGGGAACGTTCAGCGAGTGGCCACGTGTTACCTTCGTCAATGTACCATGTGCTTTTGGATTTGGACTGCACTGGGGGGTCAACAGAGCTGCCATTTAAAGTATAGTAAAACTCTGACTTGCTCCTACTGCCACACTGATGAGCTAATCCTGGAAATAACACAATTAACCACAACACAGATGCATAATAAATAGAAAAGTGTGTGCCCGCGAGTGTGTGCATGTCTCTGTGTGTGTTGCACTAGTGTACACGTGTGGGCATGTCTGCACCGTGACATTGTGTTTGCAACAGTGGATCGTTGAAATGACCTCATGATCATTCATCATCAAAGAAGATGCAAAAGAAAAAGAATGTTGACAGCAAATTATTGTAGATGCAGCAGGGATTTCTCAAACAGTGGAACCTGTGAAGTAGGATGGGGCAATCAATCGAAATATAACTTAATTTCAAAGAAAAACGATTGTGTGTGTGTTGGCAAGTTCCTACGTTATGAAAGCACCCTGAATGCACCGTGTTGCAACACATATAACGCTGTCACGGTTCAGTCGAAAATGTTCCCGAGAGGACGAGACGATGTATGGCAAAACTTTTCCAAATGTGCTTGTCGGTACCGCATGTAAAAGAGTGTGCATCACTCAAAGAACCATAGAGCTCGCATTTAGTCAATTACACAAAGAGCAGAGTACGTCCCAAGTGAAGATTTGTGTGTTTCAGCCTTGGGTTCCTCATTTTCGGTCTCCAGTTTCAGCAAGAATTTTCATTTCCGTGTACCTCTAGTCCTGACAAATAAACTCAATTGAATAGATCAAATCGCCAAGCCCAACTTTTAAGTGCCTCCACAGTTCTGACAGGTTGATGGTGATGATTTGACCTTGGAACAGATTATTTCTATTTTCAATATTTCCAAAGGGATTTTTTTTCAGAATTTTCTGTTCTCAGAGGTTCCGCTGCATTTCGATGTAGGAGTGAAGGATACATTGTTCTGACAGAGCTGTTTTAAAAAGTTGGTTTATACTGAAAAAAAGAATATTGCTGAAAATTATTATAACCTATGTATTACCCTTCTGAAATAAAATGCATCTTTGCAACATTGTTGTTGACAACCAGAGAGCAGCTAAAATGAAAACAATAAAAATCATACAAAATGTCCGTTTTGGAGTACCTTTGCTCTTCGGTTTGCTTTGGCCAGAGGACGACTTGTCGTTGCTGTTGCCTCTGGAAGCAAATGTGTGCTTTTGCAGCCTTTGGTCCTGCATGGAATATTCTGCGTGGACCAAAACAAATATTCAACATTGGTGACACCTAGGACATTGAGCTAACGTGCACAAGCTCTACAAGTGAATTCTGCCTACAAGCTGTTGTTTTTGAGGAAATGGTTTCCTCACCTACGAACCACATTAAAGTGAAGGTTTGTGGTGTGTTAAAAGAGACATTTTGAAAACACCCAATGGATAAAGAATTACAGGAACAGCATGGATGCAGTTTTTTTGTTTTTTTGGATCACCCCACAACTACATAAACAACTTTACTGGATATTCACATATATGCTGTTTATTTGAAAATGCTGGTATTACTGTGAGCTTGCTGTCATCTGCACTAACACTGCCACTCTGCTTCACTTTTGATTTCAACATTACAGTGCCTTTGTGGCAGATTTTCACTCAGCACTGCTGTCAAGACATAGGCAGGGAAACTCATTGTGGGGGCGGTATTATCTAAATTAACAACACTGTTACATGACAATTTGGCAAAATTTAGACTTAAAAGATTTACTTGGTTATTTAATCTCAAACTTGATGGGTAGGCAGGAACTCCTAAGAGGCAACAATAAATCTTCCCTTTAAGACTATTTTCTATTTACAGGAGGCTGTTTAACTATTGTTTAAGCTCCACTTACAGTACAATGCTGGTGTTTTGTCTTTCTTTGCAAACTAGCTCAAAGATTTTGGTTGAGAGAGTCAGAAGAGAATTTATTCTGTTTAGGAAAAATGAGTCTTTTCATGGTGACAAGGCTAAGTTTTTGTAGCTGGTTTATTTGTTGACTGAAAGCGAGAGAAGCAGAACAGCGATGGCATCTTTCTGGTGCACATAAAGACATCAAAACGCAATGTGGCGAACAAAGAGCTTGACTATTTTGTCTGAGAAAACAAGCGAGGCATCAGGACAAAACACTCTCTGTTGGCAGCATCGAGAGAGAGAAAAGCAGATGAGAAAAGACATTTCTCTCATGGGGCGGCAGCTCACCTGGCATTACGTCACAGATGGGGACAAGTTGAGTGTGCTCCAAACTGGCAAAGTTACACAGCAGCTTCCCGTCAAACATACCGTCCCACTCACCGATTGGATTGTCCTGCAAGAGTTGGAGCCATAAGAAGTGTATAACCCTTCCAGGTCTAGTCCAGCACTAGATCTAACACGCTTGCATGGTGATAACCCAGTTGTTCATCATCCTCACATAAGCAGCCCCTCTGATACAGATCCTCCTTAGAGCTGTAATCCCTCCTGCTAGTACAACCGAGCTATTCTTCCACCTCACAGTTTGCAATCCAACGCAGCGCTCCGGCAGCGTAAATGCAAGCTCGCGAGAAAGCAAGGCGAGGCTGGGCAAGAGCAGCGATCTCCCAATTAGCTGCCTGCTTTCCCCTCGTCAGGCTATCGGGTCATACCACTCGGAGACCCCCAACCCCCACCCCGCCAGAACGTGACTCCCTCCTCGTCTTGGTGTGGGCAGTGGATGTGATGCGCGGCGTGGGCTCGCCACCACTGCTAACAATCAGCAGTCAAATGCCGCCGTTACAATCTCCATACAACCACAACAGCACTCCCAACCTGACAACAGTAGTCATAGCTACCGGCTACGCTGATCCTTGGCAACAAGAACATATTCCCTAAACACGCAAATGAACTGTGATGCAGAAAAAGGCACGACACAATAAAATAATCGAACAATTGCGTTCTGGAAAATCTTACATTTAAAAAGAAATGAAAACATGTTTTTCTTTTTTTTCCCCCCGTGGTGTGCAAACTTTAAGGGACATCCGTATATTGTTTTTCTAATGGACAGATGAGACATGTCATTTGAAGAAGAGGTGAAATAAAGAAAATAATAAAATATGGACGTTAAGTAATTTCTTTTCTCATACAATAATTTATACAAATTAGAATATTAATTTTTTTGCTCAATCTAATATTGTTATCATTAACAATAAATCTAAAAGAGATCATTTATTTAGATAAAGGAACTGTAACATGAATATGACAAATACATTTGAATCATTAGAGAGTCGGAGTGGACAAAATGAATGAAACAAATATAGGGGTCTGGACAATGGTGGGCTGGATGAAAGAATGAAGTGGGCCGTATGTGAGATGCAGGCCGTAGTTTGTCCAGTGCTGTACTAATCCGACTGTAGACCTTGTCACCATAAACAACGTGGTCTTTAAAAATTTGTAATTTTGTTGCTGTCGTATTAAACAGAAATTGTCAAAACATCATCTTTACAGGTGCCACATATGCTGTGGTATTTGGGGTAATAAACCAATTATTGGATATGAGATGTCACTATAAATGCTAAGTGCAAAAAAAATAATAAAAGATAACAAAGGTAACAAACACACACCAAAATAAATATACAGTGCTGAATTGAGACACTATTTAAATTTGTTCCGTGAACACGCTGGTAACTTAAAACGATTAACTGAAAACATCTTTTCATATTGAAATGAATGGAAATGTCATTAATCTGTTCGACCCATTCCCCGAAAACAAAAACAAGTTGCACTGTGCATTTTAATTAGGGTAAAAAAACCACTCCATAAAGTGTACTGTGATTACTCTCTACATCTTGTAACTGAACCATTGGCTAAATCCATTGCTTAAAGCGAAAGTCATGTCCAACATTTTTTTTTGCAATATGTTCCATGTTTCCCCACTAATCCAAACACGGTATTCTGATGCATATTGCCTTTGTGGAATAAGAATTGAGCAGTAAGTGGCATTACAGGACAAAATAGCAGCCACGTGAGACTTAATGTTATGGTAATGGAAATTTTCGCTACTTTATTATATTTGCTAAAATAGTCTCCCATCTATTTGAAGGAAGTGAAGCAGAGGCCATTGTTTGGGGGAAATGTTGAAAATTGAGTCAATGACAAATAGCTAAATTAAGCCCAGGTACTTACCATGTCAACACCCACATAGTAGCCCAGCCTCTCGTTACCAGGCAGTAAGTCACAAAAAATGATGGTGCCTCTTTCAGGTCCCTCCCGGGTCTGGACTAGGACTCTGGAGTTGATCTCCAACGGTGGGTAGTCCTGGTCCTCCTCAACCAGTGTGACATGATCTGACTCCAGGTCGCCCATGTCGTCGTCGTCATCATCCTCCCAGAGCTCCAGCTTGTCCAGGGCCACGAACACGCCGCATTCCTCCTCACAGCGGAATAGCTGGCGGCCCTGGAAGGAACCCTCTGTGAAGCCCTGGCCTCGACCCTCCTCCTGAAGGAGGAAGAAAAGTAAAAATAGGATCTGACTGAAGATGGGAACTGTAGCCAAGATAAAACCTTTCAATGTACCGACAATGCTTAAAGTAAAATTACAGGGGACACATTTTGTCAAATTTATTTTAAATTGCTTGGATGCAAATGGTCTCATTTCTGAAAATATGTCTGTGAGTAAGCCATTCTGAATTTCTGCCTGTTATCAGTTAGGTAGAGGTTTCAATACTCAATTAAATGTTTGGAGACACTGTTTAACGAAGTGTCCAAATCTCTGAATTTAAATTCTCAACAATAAACATTAACAGACTGCTGTAGTCCTGCATGAAAGTAGACTAGCTTCATGTTTAATCAAAATAAGACATTTTATGCAGATTTTCATTTTTCACAATCATTCAAGGGGGGAAAAAGTGTCACAAAAGTGCAAAAACATCATTACTCCATGCTGGATGAAAGGAATTCTAGTGAGGTGCACTTGTAACATTACATGTTATGAATGTTTGAAAATGTATGCTTTATTTCTTTTGTCAAACTCTCGTCACTCAGCATTTGGCAAGGGGCGAAAAGTGTGAACCCAAGAACCTGAACCGAGGTGTTTGTTTATACTGAGCAGCAGCCTGAGCACTCGAGCGCTGCCATCGGCCCACTCAGCTGAGCGCCACAGAATAGAAACAACATTGTGCTGAAATAAGAAAACCTTTGTGTGTGCGCGTGTTTGTCGCCTCTGCGGACATGTGCCACAGTGCAAGCGGTTATGTTTGACAGCGAGTTGCATTGGTGTCGTGGAAATATTCTCATTGCTGTCAGTCAAAACAGCTCTGGGTCATGCAGTGCTACAATGTAGTTATTTATTTTGGTTTCTCGAATGTGGGATAACAAACGGCACTGTTTTTGGCAAATTCTCGCTAACATCACTTCTCATTTTATTTGCAGTTTTATTTCAGTACAAGGCACACCATCAAATTAGAGCCAATACAAGGCCTGGGTTAAAAATTCTGTCTTTCTAAAGATAGGTCATTTTTAGAGAGCTATCAGAGATGTACTGGCTCAAAAGCTTCCTTCTTATTGTGGCTGTAATTTACAGTGGTGCACTGCATCATTTTGAGATCTGCTACGAGTCACTGCGTTTGTCCCAAATTGTGGCCTCTGTGTCTGATGCACACCCCGCCTCAATTTTCGGGTCATCCAGTTAAACATAGAAACACCTACCGATCCATTTTCTGATCCGCTCAGCCTCACGAGGGTCGCGGGCGTGCTCGAGCCTATCTCAGCTGTCTTCAGGCAGTAGGCGGGGTACACCCTGAACTGGTTGCCAGCCAATCGCAGGGCACACATAGACAAACAATCATCTGCGCTCACTCACTCCTCGGAAGGCCGGAGCAGGAATCAATTCCTGCATCTCTGCACTGAGACGCAGATGTGCTAACCAGTCGCCGACTGTGCCACCAGAAACATTTATACTCGAATGAAAGCTTCTTTTAACATCCACCCTTCCATTTTCTAATCGCCGTGTCCTCACAAGGGTCGTAGGGCATGCTGGAGCCTATCCCAGCCGTCTTTGGGCAGTAGGCGGAGTGCACCCTGAACTGGTTACCAGCCAATTGCAGCTCTTTTTACAAGCTCTTTTTTTTGCAGCTCTTTTTACAAGGGCAAAAAATAAATAAATAAAATCTGCACTTCACGTCCTCTTCCAACTGTTATTTTTCGTGATGGTTCCGTCCAAGTTGGGTTTGAACTCATCGTGTGATGTGTCTGAGTGTTTTTGAAAAACAAATGCACAGGCAACAAAGACAAACAAACACTAATACAATGAATATTTGTTCTCTGTACTACAGTTTAATTTAGTTCCTTGTACAGTTCATTGCAAAGAACTTTTCTTAGCATTTTCTAATAGTTAATGCATTGCATTATTTATACTTTATTTCTTGTTATGCCATGATTTGTTTTACTCCTGTTTTGCTCATTTGTTTTAAATTCATGGTGTTTTGTCATTTATCACAATGAATATATTGGGACAATAAATGATAAACTGAACATTTTTGAGATTTTATTATTGGAATAAAATTAATTAAATGTTAAAGAACAACATTCAGTACTACACACATAAAACCGGAATTTGGTATCGTTGAGACATGGCATGGTTAAAGCTGTAGGCAATGTCAACAATGGCTTTATCAAACACAGTGTGGGTAAATAGAACCAGAGGAAAACAGATGAAATGGTTCTTACCAAGAGCTCCACTCCAAACAGGATTCCGGAGAGGGCTCTGTCAGGCAGCAGCGAGCCCTTGAAGCGCACCACGCCGGGCAGCGGCTCATCGCCAGAGCGCAGCTGGACGCGCACCTTGGAGCCACAGTCGATGTCACGTACGCGCTCCAGCCGGGACTTGTTGCACAGCAGGGCGTGACGTTCCTCGCAGTTAGTGATGGGAAAGAGCAGTTCAGCCAGCTTCTCGTCGATCTCCAGGATGTCGCGCTCATCCAGGCTCAGCACCACATTGGTCTGGTCTAGAATGCGCAGGCTCTTTTTGCCCTTGCACGGCGGGAGCGTGCGGCCCAGGCTGTTGCGCTCCTGGCACGCCTGGCCCAGGCTGCCGCGTGGGATCCACAGGGTTTTCTGGGGGGGCTTCTCCACCGTGCACTCCTTCACCACCATGTAGAAGTGCCAGTCATCCCTGAAGCCCCCGCTGGGCTTCTCCTGACTCCACAGGACCGAGCTCATGGCTGCATGCTAGGCAACAAGGGCAGCATCACAGCAACTGGAGTCTGCAAAACACATTTCACAACTGCAGTGCCTGTAATTCATATCGTTCTTGTGGTACGCCATAAGGGACCAAACAAAAAAGTAATTTTACCCTTTCTATATTTATTTAATCGGTGTTGGGAGGGTTTTTTTCCCCCCGCCAGATATCGGAATCGGTCTAAAAAAAATCCATTATCCGTTGGGGCCTAGTTAATTGGTGTCAAGTACATTTTGTATGTTGAGGAGCGACAGTATGTTTGGCCTGAGTTGTTTGTGGAAATTGCAGAGAGTCTTAGCCACATGTGAATGCATACAAGCACTCCCATTGCATTTTTTCAACATCAAGTCACTTGCAAAATGTTTTAAGGGTAATGTTTTAAGATGAGTTTGAAATGATATTCAAACTGATTTGAGATACTCTCAAGTTGTCACGTTTGTTATGAAATGACAAATAGCAAGGGTTCTCTCTGTGTTATCATCTTTACAATCACCTCCATCAATGTGTGACTTACAAATAGATAAGAACATAATTTTATTTAACATGATGTGTCTTTGATCTGCATGCCTATGGCGACTGTTAAGTTAGGAGGGGCAAAGACCTCAGGCCATTTCATATGTATGAGCGGCAAGAAAAACAAAAACAAACAATGCCGGCACATTGTTGAGTTCCTATATTTGCACTCAACTCATACAATTACGACAAGAGAACCGAGAATACGTTTCACAGGTAAATTAAATTTATGGGCCTTTTCTGAATTGTTGGCACAAATTCTGGCATTGTCAAAAATGTAAACTTTGTAAAAATCGGTTAAGAAATAAGCAGATTCTGACTTATTTTCAATGTCAATACATGGCCATTGATGAGAATGTTGTCCCTTCCAACATGGCCGCCACGTAGGCACGTCGATAGTCGGGTTGAAACGGCGCATGGCGTATTTGTCTTCATATGTGTGGCCTTACCCCTTTAAGACGACTGGTTGTCTTTGCAGTTAAATATATAAACACCTAATTGGGAAAATTGGTACGATTTTTGTTTAATTGCTCGGAACTGCTCATTTGAATACGCTAGAAAAATAATAATTATATACAGCTAGACAGTGGACTTCCCCTCAGACATGAAGTCGAAAGTGAGCACGCCATATCCGCCTTGAGTAGTGACGAATGACTTGAGACTTTTTGTTCGATAAACCCCGTAAATGTGACATAAAAGCTTCATGACATTATCATGCGTCACGGTCAATGAGACCAGTTTAGTTAGCCGAAATGACAGCCGGGCCCTCAGCTTCGAAAGTGTTAGCCCAGCCAGCCAGCACTCACCTACCGCTGGTCATTCTCATCAAAAACGTCAACGACACGGCGTCTTACCTTTTTCGGCGTTAGTTGAGGGGCTTTCGGTTAATGTGTCATGTCACTACAGCCATTATTCCAATACGGGGCGAGGTCTGAAAAATCAAGCCCGAACGCCGCCGTAGTCACCTCTGCTTACCGAAACGGCAAGCTAATGCTAATATGCTAACAGCTACCCAACCGGCTATGCACTAAATAATCAGACTAAAGTGAGGTAAAGTGGCTGCCCGACAGCAAACAAGTCGACGGGGGACCGCCGCGGTCTACGACATAAGAACGACATTTAGAATACAGCTATAGATTTACACATATATTTCAAAATTCATACAGTATTACGTTACGGTGTATTTAAGCTATGTTATTTACATGAGACGACCTCACGAAACATGGTGTAAACGTCATCAAAACGAGGCTTACTAATTGGCAGAGCCTTTTTTTCTCGGCTGCCGATTGGCTGATGGTTTTTTCTATACAGTCGAATAGGGGATGCCCATTGAGAGTGAAACTGCGTAGTTAGGATGCATCGTAGCTTCAAAATACTGTAGCCGGAGCTGGTAAAGAACAATTTTATGTACTGTATAAAAAAATTAAAAATATGAACGCATACATAAAAATACAATAATTTGCTCTTTGAGAGCAGCACAGATAATTAGGACAAAAAAATCCGACAGTCACTGCAGTTGAATTAATATAGTCTACAGTACTGTATTCCAGATTTATTTCAAATGGACAACAACAGAAGATGAAATACAGTATCATCATCTATATCTTCTATCAAGAGTAAAGGCAACTGTGCCGATAATACGATGTAATATGACATGGTATGTCGTCACATCACCACTGGAAAAAAAAAAGCAAAAACACATTTTACGTCAATAAATAAACTAGTCCATCTTCCATCTGCACTACATGCATAAAAGTGTTTGTAAAGACTAGGCAAGCAAAGTTACCACATAGAATCACAATGGCAGGTTACATTCAGCAGAGACGACACACACTATATATGTGTGTGTGTGTGTGTGTGTGTGTGTGTGTGTATATATATATATATATATATATATATATATTTTTTTTTTTTTTTAAAGCATCAGAAGATGAGTCTTGATTCACGACGTGTCATCTCCACCACCTCCTCAGGGCTCAGGTGATTGTTCCTCAACCTGCAAAACAAATGCATCGTCAATTGCAAGGAGCTTGCATTGACTGCATAGGACAAGGATGGGCAAAGTGTGGTCGGCGGGCAAGATCGACTCGCTTTTAGCTCACCGGTAGCTAGTCACACATAAAAGGAATCAAGGAATTTTATTGTCAAACCAACGCATATTTCCTGATGATATGGTACGAAATACGATACCCGAGGTTCCAGGTTAACCCAGTAAGTCCCAAGACTTTGGACAATAAAAAAATCTATTGTTTAATCTATTGAAAATACTAAATTTAAAAAAAAGTAAATGAAAAAAATGTGCTTCAACATTTGCCATTTTTGGTGAATAAAATGAAAAAAAATAGTCAGGGACATTTTACATATCCATTTAAAAAACATTTGATTTAATAATTAGATTTGCTCAAATGATAACATTTGAATTTGTAATTGAAATAAAGAATTGTGCACATCAAAGTCTCTATTTTATTAAATATTTAGTTTCTTGCACACATATTGTGGTGGTACATGCTGCTATTCATGCAGACGGAGAAGGTTCATTAACCAGCCACGGCCGGGCCCAAGTCCAGACAAAAAGTCTGAATTGTATCAAAAAAGGGCAGCTGGTGCGAAACTACCAAAGTAGTCATGGCATTTATGAGCATAATTTCACTCGCAACAACAACTAAAGCATGAGAATAAATTAATTTGGTTATTACAATACAAAAGCTCATCATCCCAAGCATTGGCCATAGAGTACAAACAGTGTTTATACGCTCACCATACTGACTTGATACGCTTGTTACGCTCCAGAGCTTGAACTAAACAATCCACGCCCTCTCTGGTGATGCAGTTTTCGGTTAACCTTGTACAGTGAAGAAGAGGAAGAGGAATGAGTTGAAGGGTGGAGCACTTGCGCAAGGAAGCTAAACTTACCACAGGTCCTCCAGTGATGTGCCACTCTCGAGCATCTTGGCCAGGGCACGAGCTCCGGCGCTGCCCACGCCATTGCCCACCAAACTGTCATTAGAAAAATATAGCGGGTAGTTACATTGTCAAGTCAGGTTCAATTCTCACTTTGGTCAAAAATTTAAAATCGGCGACTATTTGTTGGGAGAGATGTTTGTTGCCTTCTGTCGAGGAAACCTTGAGCAAGGCATTGTTTCTACGACAATCCCAATTCAAATCTCTCTTTGCTAGCGTGTGATCTGATTTTTGTGAGTGGTGCACAACACGCACAAGTATATTTGGGAGTAGAATTTACCCTTGAGGTACCCATATTTAAATAGATATTTTTTGAAAGGAATTCAACATTTCTGTGTTGTTTCAGCCCCACACCTTTCACCCAATTCTCTTATTTTCATATTTTTTTTGATCTTTTGAGTTAATTCCACCATCCTGTACACAACAATGGTATGGTCTTTCATCATCAGCCACAAAACAGGAAGTGGCCATCTCGTGTACGGACAATCCAACCAACACATTTTCACGTTCGGTTCTGCATTGTTGAATGCAAGCTGTATTGACAATGCATTTGACCTGCGAACAGAAAGTAATACCTTAGCCATGCTAACGTTTTGCTGCCCTCCAGAGCACCAGCAATGGCCTCTGCACCTGAATCGCCAATCTTATTGCCCCAAAGCCTGAACAAATTCAATATGACACAATTAAGATGCATCTTGTTGTATATCATTTAGTATATAGACCTCTAACTTACCCCAAATGGGTCAACGAATGGTTGCATTCCAGCCCCTTAGCCAGCTGTTTGGCTCCTTCCGATGTTATATTGTTGTTGCCTAGCCTGAAACGAAGGAGAGCACATAGAGAAGATAGACAGTTTTCCAGTCACATCATGCAGACCAGGTCACAGCCGCAGTGTGTGTGTGTGTGTGCGCGTGCGCACGCGCGCGCGTAGGATTGTTTGATTACCAAAATGGCCTAGCCTATCCTAAAATTTGGATCTCCAACATGGCGGACAAACAAAGACTGATGATCGTGTGATCAAAATCTTCACCCATCCCCAAACACACCATGAACACTGCACAAACCTCAAAGAGAGGAAATTCTGCTTGGTCTTCAGCAGATGAGAAACGTGTTGCGTACAAGCGTCAGTCAGCCTGTTGTTGAAGAGTCTAATAGGGAACACAGTGGTTAAGACGTGATTATATTCACCGATTTAAACAACCAAGTTTTTTTGCTTTTTTCCTCTACCATCTAATGTGGATGGAGCACGGTATCAACGTTTGATGACCATTTTAGAGATTCACTATTAAAAAGGGGTGCGAGAGCACATTCGTGGAAAAAAAAAAAAATGCCCCTGACACCAGTTTCACTGCAGCATCTCACGTGGGTGGAGCATGGCGTAAATTTCAAGTATGCATCAATTATCTGCCCCAAATCATGTTCACCGGTGAAGATAAAGTTGAGTTAAGATGTCTACCATGACAAAGCAAACTTTCAAGGACCCATGCTTGGAATTGAACATGAAGTGGGCTATTCCGGATTGATGCAGCCATTTTAGGCGACATCTAGGGGCACTTTGGTGAACTCCGACAGGGGAATTGCCCCAAATAATCTGAAACAAGTGTTTCAGACAGATAGGTGACTAAATGAAAAAGCCATTTTTGCCTAGAGTATCATCATCTCTATACCATCTAATGTGGGCCAAGCGTGATGTTAACATTTGATGATCATTACGAGGATTTACTATAACGGTAACAGCTAATTGCGATGGGTCATATTGGCAGGTCTGCCTGCAAGTCTACACTGTAATATTATTACAACAAGGCTTACGCAATTTTCTGGAAGTTGTCACACTGGATTCCCTTTGCCACCAGTTTTCGAATCCCTTCATCAGTGATGTTATTATTTCTGAGGCTGTTGAAGGGGTGGAGATACGTTATTTATGTGATCACAAGATCATGACGTATGGAAGCTTTTTATACTCACTAGAGGGACTTGCAAATATGCAAACAGGGAAGGAGCTGCTCAACACCCACATCGCCCACAGAGTTGTTGTCCAGCTCGATTCCCACGGGACTCCTCAGGTGCTTGAGCACGTAAGCCAGAGCTGTGCACTCCACGGGTCCGATGTTACAGTAGGTCATCTTCAGGTGGTCCACCTCCAACTGGCTCAACACCTCCTCGGCCATATTACTCTCCCGCATCTCATAGATGCACTTGATGAGCCAGACAAAGCCCGGCATGGCGTGCATGCTCTTTTTTTCACACTGAACTGGCGGGGGGATGGACTTGAAGTGTTCCTGCATGCCGTTGTGGAGGCAACGGACCACCTGTCGCGCTTTCTTCTCCACGGTGGTTGTCGGGGTGCAGTGCAGCCACAGGTGTCTGTGTCTCTGGGAAAGGAGACCGGAGACGAAAGTGGCTGTGATTTGTGAATTGGGGTTTTCAGCCAGCCCTTGGCGGTGGTCCACAGACAAGCAGGACCAAAAACAGGTGCTACTGAAGTCGGCCTCAAACAGCTTAGCTACAGTGGAGCGGTCCGTGTTGTTGGACAAAACAATGTAAAGCGCAGCGAAGAAACACTGCATGGTCACGTGAAGGAATTCGTACCGAAGACTCTGGGGGAATGACATTTCCTTGCTTTGGGTGAGGAAGCCCGCACAGATTTCCTTGTCCGTAACGCAGCAGGTCTCCAGGTCAGTGCCAGCAAAGACATAACAGGAAGCTTCTACACCCTGGAAAGCAAGTTGACCCAGATGCAAGATGCCACCCAGGTGCTCCTGAAGCAAAGTGGCTCCCTCAGAACACTTCGAGGCGTTTTGGTGCTGCAAAAAGTGCTGCAGGATCATGAGGTACACGTCCGTTATGGTCTGTGGTGTCCCATCTCCACAGCCCAGCAGCTCTTTGTGGCACTGCGAGACAATCCAGCAAAGGACCGGACTGTGGCAAAGTCCAAATAAAGCTGTGTTGGCCTGAATGGATGCCAAGACTTTAGAGGCCACAGACAAATCGTGGTGTTGTTTCTTGACAAAACAGTTTATGCCATCAGGGGAGAAGCCTTTAAGGAAGAGTTCTTTGCGGAGATGCTTCCTCAACGTTGAACCCACAGCCTCCGGACGACTGGTCACCACCTTCCGCACCCCCTTCAGGAGGGACCCCTGGAGCAAGTTGAACAATAGTACATGCACGGGGGCGGGCTCCGTGGGGCAGCAGACCCTGCGCTCGTCCGAGAAGCTTTGCTTTAGCTCATCAAGACCGTCAAATGTAATGACCACGAGGTGCGGGTGGTCCAGAATAAAGCGAAAGATCTCGTCCTGGTCGCGGTCGGGCCAGCAGCAGTGGTGGAAGAGTAGCTTTTGGACCGACAGCTCATTGAGTTCCGAATTCAGCTTCCGACAGCTGAAAGGGAAGAGGAGGACGAATTCGGGGAGGGTGGCCCCTCGAGCCCAGAGAAGGTGTAGCCTCTGGAGTAAGGTGCTCTTACCACTGCCGGCATCCCCGGATATCAGGACCGTGTCTGCCTCCTGATTCACATTGCCCGCTGTACCTATGATGTCTTCTAAGCCCAGATGTCCTTGATCCTTGCAGTCCTGAGCCAGCTCCAGCTGGCCTTCAGTGTAGATGTCATCAAGCAACATGTGTCCAGTTCCTCCGTACGTATTGAGGAAGCTGGACTGGGCCGACACAGAACTGCGCAACTTCTTCTGATATATAAGGAGCTCTGTAATGGAGAGGTACACAAGGATTGATGTGAAGAAGGACTTAAACACTGTCTTGTCATTTTACCTCCTGATGACACAGCATCAGGAGAAAGCATCAGTATGTTGCTCAAGGACACTTCAAAATGGGTTGAGAATAGAACCCACAACCTTTGAGTTGGGAGATGACCTCTCTGTCACGTGAGCCGTGCTACCCTTGTTAAAATATTGCTTGATATTAAAATAAAACGGTGGTGTAACTGCTGAATCCGTTTGAACTCTGTTGCAATCCAAATAAGAATAAGAAGGACGTAAACAGACCTGGGGCGAAGTGCATAGTCACTGTACACTGACTCATATCTGACTAAATGATGATAGAATGCTGATATGTACTGTATGAAATGATACAAAACCTTCGGGTGTGGTCTTCTCAGATTTTAGGTTGCACCCAGACTGTTGCTTTTGCTCAATGTAGCGTAGCACCACGTTAGCTGCTGACTCGCCTTTCGAGCTCACATGATCCAACAAACGTCTGGCCTGAATGAGACAAAAGCTAATTTACACAGTGGTTAACTTTTTTTTTTTTTTTACACTTGTATGACAGTTTAAGAAAGCTAACACATCACTTTTTAAAAATACACTGATAACCATACAATGGGAAACTTAGAGTGACAATTTCACACTGTCCCACATTCACACACACCGTGGTGCCATGTTCATGAGTGTGCATCTAAACGTTTGTGCTACCTGCTGCGAGGGTGTGTGTATGGGTAAGCGTACGTCTCCACAGTCCTCGTGGGTGAAGCATCCCGATTCCAACAGAGCTTCCAGAGCTCCGTCCATGCAGCTTTGGAGCTCTGCCACCAAGGTGGGCCTTCGGGTCAGAAGCATCCCGGTGACACGCCCCGGGTCTTCAGGCCGGACCTCCCGGATTGCCTCGGTGAAAGCCTGGCACGCGGCCTCCCCCTTGGCGTAGACCAGGTCCAGCAGATGCCTGGCGTTGGCATGAAGCGGCCTCCCCTGCACTCGCACGTTGTGGTAATCCTCCCATGAAAACTCCCCGCAGGCCAGGAGGACATCCAATACCCTCTCCAGGGGCTCGGGCGACCCGCTGGCACATAGACCACAAAGGATCTCGCTACGTTGCTTCAGCACCAGATCCTGGGCCATGGTCACCTTCTTGGAACACACGGCACGGTCCAGTGGATATCAGCAAGGACTGGACATGGTGTCATAGTGGACGCTCTGAGCTTAATGCTCGTGCCGCGGGTCCATCGTCTACATGCCTCATGCCTGTTTTCTAAGACGGAGCTTCCTCTTCTTCTTCCTCAATCCGTAGCAAAGTGAAACTGTTTCAAAGTTTCACGCACAGAGGCTTTATTTAGCACGTACGCACTCACACACACCTCCCCCCATACACACACGCTGACATATACAATTCTACACTGTCACACACACATGCACTGACACACGCAAACAAACGCCGACACTCGCGTGCTCATATACACGCGCACACGCACGCACGCAAACGAACACTGAAAAACGCGTCCTCGTACGCACGCGCACACAGTAAAATATTCAGGGATCGACTTCCTCTTTCTGGATCCTCTCTGGCCAAACGGTCCTCGACATTCAGGAAGTACTTTTGCAGCAGTGCAAGTCACACAAAGTGATACAAATACAGGTACGCGGATAACATCATACCAACTTTGTTATTAAGATACTCTACCAGTATAATGAGATCAATACTCATTTTTTTTTCTTGGGTATGCCCTTTTCAACAAATATCGGAGCATAAAGCCTTCTAGTCAAACCTTCAAGGCTATTGTTTAGAAATGTAAATGTGATATTTCATTACTTTCTTTTAGATCCAGAAAATTTTATTTTTTATTGCAATTCGTGAATACACACGTAAGATTTTCGAATAAATAATACAAATAATCAGTTGCCTATGTGGGTTCTCTATAATGAACTAGAAAAAAAACTACGACAAAGAATTGCATTATTGTTGACTTTCCCTTTAAATGTTATTTTACTTACATTATTAAGCGCGTTGTTACAGCTGCCGCTGTTGTGAAAGCGCTATATAAATCAGCATGTATTGTATTATTTTTACTGACAAATTGTTGCCTACAAAATGTGTATTGAAGGGAAAGACGGAAGAAAAAATATTTTTTTGTAGCTTTAACATTTTTTTAACAGAGGCCATTTAATATATTTATGATAAAAATCCAGCTAAACTACTGCGCTCATTTATGGATTCCGTTGGTGTGGGCTGTAAAGGCAAATTAGGTGCAATTCGGTTATCAGGCCACTTGATGACGCTGTTGCATTACTGGTCAACAATGGTAGCTTTGGCTCGCACACTTCGGTTTGAATGTCCATGTTGCACGTGTATGTATAGCACTGCTGTCGTACTACAACATACTGTATACTGTATGTATTAAAATTCAAGCTACAACTTTAAAGTAACATTTTTATTCGTCGCAGACGTGAAAAATTAAGTAAACTTGTGTCAAACAAATACAAACTAACACTACTCAAAATTGTATCACACATTTTTTTTTTCAAACATTTTCTGCATATCTGTTCTGTGGTTATCGTGAAGACTTTTTACCATCCAAACTTACACTTCCTGTTCTATGGTTATCATTAGTTTTTCTTACATATTTTTAACCATCACAGTTAAATTTCCTCTTCCATGGTGATCGTCATACAGTTTTCTTTTATTAGATTTGAGAGTTCATTTTCTGTTGTTCTGTTATCATCAGAATTTTTGCCATTCTAACTTTATTTCCTGTTCCACGTCTGTCATCACACTTTTCCTGTTTGCCATCAGTGGTCCCCTTCTGACGGCGCTTAAGTCTCACAAGAGTCTCCAAAATCTTGCATAATGTCACACTTGATTTCCAACACCACTTTTGCAATCTGGAAAGTCACATCACTTGGGCCTCTGCCTTCAAGGTCACGTCCAGCTTTTCCCTGACCTTCAGAGTGTTGTGACTTGAGACTTGTTGGACATTCACGACCGCGTCTCCCCTGCGCAGGACCTTCTTTCAAGTGCGGCCCCCCCATGTTACAGAGGCACCTTGCAGCTCAACATCCCCCCGCGTTCACTTTGTACCTTCGACAGCACGCCGCCACATCAAAGCGCCGCCGCCTCCAGCTTTGATGTTTTGCCGAAATAGAGAAAGCGAGAGAGTGTGAACGAGAGAGTCAAAGAAAGAAAAAGCTAGCCGTGATATAAGGGGCTGTCAGGGACATAATTCAGGATTAGCTCTCATACACAATGCTGGAACACTCTCACATGCACAACTGAAATTCTGAAAAGTTCCAGAGCAAAGCAACCACTTTGACGCGATGGCTAAATCACAATCGCGTCAAAGCCAAAAGATAAGTGAAACTGCAGCATTAACGTAAGCAAACTTAACCAGAATGATCTTCTGATAGTGGATGTGGTAACAATTTTCGGCTAAGTTGTTGACCTTTTATTGTTGTTTACTGATTTATCCAAAACAAATTTATAAAATTGAAATTGCAAGCTAATATCATTTTCCATATAAAAAAATAAATAGGTTTAGAGTGAAAAAATGGGCCATCCTCACTGGATGGTTCCTTTAAGACACGAGGATTTTTTTTTTCAATTATGAAAAAAATGTATAATGCCTCCTTCGTTTGTAACAAAAATATGGAATAATAAATCAATAAATGGTCACCACACGTCATCTACAGTTGAGTACAGAAACCATGATTTGTTTTAACCCCATACACTCTAGTTTCCTAATTGAACACACCCGAAAACAGTCCTAAGTGTTTTTATTTCTTGCCCCCTGTCAGCAGACATAAAAGGCAGGCCCCTGCCAATTAGCATTAATTCCTCTCCCCCCAACACCATGCTTTGGTTTCCCGTTCTTGAGTAAGCGGCGTATTGCCATCATTTGCATTATCTGTGGCACATCGGCTTTGAAGTCGGGAGGATTGGGCGGAAGAAGAAGGCTCCGCTTATTATCCAACGTGGAGAAAAAAAAGTGTTCAAAGGCCATAGATTGAGTGGAACAGATGTACATTAGCATTGCTCCTGTGCTGCTAACACTTTGGCATCTTGACTGTTATTTTTTTTTGGAGTGAATTTTGCACCCCGCTGAGTTGAATTCACATTTCAAAGATGCAGCGAGTGAGACATACTCTCATTTACATGAACATACCTTTAAGTCAACGGAACGGAAGTCATCTAGCTAATTGACAAACTACCTTACCCAACTGACTGAGTAGCTAGCCAACTAATTGACTGACTGGCTAATTAGCTGACTCCCAAGTTAAGTAATCAACTAGCTTGCAGGCAAACAACCTAACTGACTGAATGACTAACTTACTACCGAGATATCTAGTGAACTATCGTTCAAGCTAGCTAACCAGCTACCTCACCAAATGACTGACTAGCTAGCAAGCTAGGTAACGGACTGAATATATATAAATAACTAACTTACCAGTTAAATGACTAGTTAGATGCCAGATTAATTGACTAACTGACTGACTTGCTAAACAGCTATCTGATCAACTACCTCACCTAATGACTGACAAGCTAGGTAACTAACTGACTGAAGTAACTAACTTCACCTCACAAAATGACTGATCAAGATAACCGTATAATAACACAATACTAATTATAATTCTTCCATTTTGGAGTCAGGATATAACAGAATGAGGAAAAAGTGAGCACCTGTGAATTTCCTTGTTTTTGCATATATTTATTTTTTTATGCTCATGTGACAGAATGTTCACTTAAATCATCATCTGTATAGTTTTAATGGGTGACAGTTTGACTTCCACAAAATAACACTATGGTGTTGGTTCACTTTGGGCCATTTTTATGTCCTTAACATATAAGTGTGTTCAATTTAGGCCCGTGACACTGGAAGTGTCAAGAGATTTAAGTGCTCTTAAGGTGTCACTTTAAACACGCATTTATGCATACAAATGTGCAGAAATCTACCACAAAAGTGTACGTTTGCAGTGTAATGGCTAACAAATGTATCATGTCAGTCTAAAAACAGCTGTGAAACTGTTTGGTCTTGCTTTAAAAATCTCCATATTTTACCCTCTTTGTGGAGGTGGGGGAGACCAATCTTATGGCCCGGAGCTGGACGCTCTGCGGTAGCCCTGGCCGGAGATAAGCTGCTAAAGCTCCTACATGAAAGCAGCGAGTGCTGAGCAGCTGTGCTCACACATTTGGAATCACGACAGCTTTAGATGCTGTTAATACATGGGGGATTTTCACATTACCAACCACACTTAAAGTGGGGTCACATTTTTTTTTCTTGAATTTTGTCCCTCCCATGATGTCTCAACAGGGACACACTTTGACAATGAGCACGGGGTTACGCTGCGACATGGCTTGGCTTCTACATGGTCACGGGGACGACTCAGCCCGTACTGGATTTGGTATGTGCTTCAGAAGGTCCCCGGTTATGGAAGTGGGTACTGTTCTTCATCACATGTGATGATTGCATGTCGCAAGTCTTACAAAAAAAAAAATGAATGCGTAAAGTCAATTTCCCCTCTAGGGCCACAATTATAAGGACCTTCTCCTTCCTTATTCTTTTAGATGTGTGCACATGAAAGCATTTGCCTGAAACCAAATGCAAAGAGGAATGTTTGCTACAATGAGATTCATTGTCTCTTTTTGAGGGTGGGTCTGGGAGGGGTTACACTTGGGCTCTAGAGGGCACTACAGGGGCGTCATGTGTCTGGCAAGAACTCGTTGAACTTTGGTGACAACCCGAATACAACAAGGAGCGAGCACTAACGTATATAACCCTTAATGAATAAATATCACAAAATATATTACCGTTTTCCATGTTATATTATTGTTATTCTGAAAACTTGAGGTTCCAAAGAAAAAAACGAGGGCAGATTCGGAACCGGCGCACAATAAAAAAAAAAAATCTAAAAAAGTTTACTTGCATCTCTGATTAAAATATTGAATCAAAATTTGTTGACCGGTGCAGATAATATACTCAAGTGGCCGATGGAGGAGTCACCATGTTGGTGATTGCTGGTGTATAACATGAACAGAAAACAACAAGGTCGGGATTATTAATAACAGGTTGATACTTTAATAAAAAGGTACGTGGCCCCTAAACGCTAATCCACCACCTCGGCACAGATACGCTGTCCAATAAATTAAGCAACGAGTCAGCTACATGAGTTGAAGATGTTATGGCTACAAAACATTAGGATGGGGGATGTAAATTGGGGTACACTTGCGTCTTTTAACAGGCAAGTCAAGTCAAACGTTACTTTACAATAATATGTTCTATGCGGCCCCACTAGTCGAAGCACGGCATTCTGATTAATATTGCATTTGTGGAACATGAATCAAGCAGCAAAATCCACCAATTTTTATCCATCTGCGGGGGCGGCCATTTTGCCACTTGCTGTTGACTGAACATAACATCTCAGTGCCTAAGGCCTCAGGTAAGGACAAATTATGGCTAAGCTATTTTCTGGATTCGGTCTTGTGACGTTGGAAAGTTGAGTGCTTGGGTATGTTATGCTAAAGAAAACGTTTGACTTGACTTCTCCTTTAAAAAGTGGAGAAATGGGTGATTAGCAAGGAGGAAAGAAAGTGGACACTAGACTGAAATGACAGATTTGCTTCCTAAAAAAATAAATAAATAAAACGCAAGATGCTCAAAAGACATTTGCAAACAACTCATCCCAACCCTCAACAGATACTCAAGCACGGATCCATACATTGCGCACACTGCCGTTTTCGTTATATTTTCGACATGCTTCGGTCATATCAGCATGATCTGACAAAATGCCTTTTGTTGGATATAACCAGGCTCTGTAATGCCTTTTTTTGTGGTGGGGAGGGAGCAGAGGGTGCACTAACTTCGCTGGGATGTTGAAATGGTACATGGATGAAAAAGTTTGCAATAAAAAAAAAAAAGGCAACAATAAAAGCTCTGAATTGTTTTCGGGTGATAAATGTTTGTGAAAATGCTGCTCTATGAACATGAAAGCATTTAGGACTGTGCTGTCGGGTAACTAAGTGAGGATCCACTTTTCTAAAATAAGATGCTTCTTGGTTTCGGGCGTGACTGATCGCCTCACCCTAAATTCCTCGCTAGTGGCGACCAATCAGACCACGGCGTGACCATTTCTAAGCTGCGACGACATATGTGACCACAAAAAAAGCAAAACGGGTTGAGGAAGTCAACGCATGAGGCCCAGCTGGATACGGCTCACCCACCCCCTTTTTCTGGGAATGGCGGTGCCTCCGCTTTAGGGTGGCCTGCAGCTGTGAGACAAACGCGGTGTGCGGCATTCCTGCTTACCCTCAAAATACACGCTGATGGCAGGCTAGGCGATAAAATAATAAATAATAGGGCAAAACATTCATAAAATGAGCCTGACAGATTATTCTCTTCCAGTCGGATACATTTTTTAAGACAGTGTCAGCTGCGTTTTCAACGTGGGGTGCGTAGGAAGGACAGTAAGTATGGCGTCAACTGTGTCGGTATTTTGAGGGTGATGTGTGGCTTTACAAGTTTGCAGTTTGTTTTTCAGAGAGTGTGCAGGAGGGCATCAACTCTGATAGAAATTTGAAGGGAGTTTTATTCAGATATTTGTTATATGTGTGTGCAGGAGAGAGGGGGTGCGCCAACATTTGTGATGATGAAGATGTGCTGCTCCAAAGGTTGGCAATTTTAACCTGTGTATCAAAAATAACCCAATTTTTTTGAGAGTTGTTCTGTAACCATTATGTTTTTTTTTTTGGTCATTCTGTACAAAACAACCCATTTTGGGAGGCCATTTTGTACGAAACAAACCAATTTTAAGGGGTTCTCATTGGTTATTCATTTGACTCAATGTCTTGGATTACATGAATAATTCAAAACATTGGGTCAAGATAACCCAAGTGGCAGTTGCTCCATTTTTTTTTTTTTTACCCATAACTCATTTAGGTTATTTTCGACCAAAGTGTTTTTACTGAGGGTGGCAACGCGTGTGCCGATAGTTGAGATTTTAAAAAGTTAGCAATTAAAGCATTTCTAACTCTTTGTGAAGGGTATTTTTTTGGGGGGATAGGGGGTGCGTCAAACAGACGGGATGTTAAAGGGGATTTTAGAGCCCCCAAACAAACTGCTCTATTTGAATTCTACTGTGAACAGTGGAGACTTTAGCTGCATTAAGCGCTCCAGGAGGCTCGCGGCATGTGGTCGCTCCGCAATGTGGTGGGCGTCCACGTTTATGGTACATGCCTGTCACATCATGGGACCGGCAGGTGAACGGACAGGCAACCAGGGTGGGCTGCAGACTGGCAGGCCACAGACTTTACTGGATACTAAGACACCCCCCCCGGCGTGGGGAATGGAGACAGCCGAGGAATTTAGACAGCTGGGAGAGTCACAACACAAACAAACTGTTGTTGGTGGATACCACATGCCGAAACAGTCCATAGTGTTGGGGGGGACAAAAAGAGTGAGAAGCCATGAAAACAATTTTCTAATCAGGCAGTTAAAAGAGATCCACTGTCACACTCGTTTCAGCGTTGGCTCAAACGCTGAATGTAAAAAAAGCTTTGTGTCACTTAATGTCCGAAAAGCGGGATCTATCGTCATGTGTATGTCTCTACTCATTACCACTTCAACCTGTGAAGATACTATAACAATCGCAGCAATATTTTTGATTTTATGAATGTTAAGCCTTTTTCTGTCCGAAAGCGCTCACGATAGACAAAAGGCTTGACGTCACTTAATGTCCAAAAACGACCAGCCTTCATCACCAAAATGTATGCGCACATCTGTACTCATGCCGACGTCAACCTTTGAAAATATCAAAACAATTGCCCGAATATTTGGGAGTGTTCTCTCCATAGAAAAAGCTTAACTTCAGGTCATATCACAAAACCGCCATCAAACTTCGCCCAAATGTCTGTTTACATCTCGACTTATGCACACTTCAATCTACATTAATATTGGTAACGATTAATTGCGGTTCTCTGACGTTAAGCAGCATTCAGCTTTTTCAGGAAAAAGGTTTAACGTTCAAAAAATACTAAATATTGGGATGAGCATCCTCATATTTTCAGAGGCTGAAGGTCAGCACTTGGGAGGAGTGTACCAAGAAGATGTGAATGAAAAAGTTTTCAATAAAGACATTTCAGAATTTTTGGGAGAATGCGCACAGGTGAAGGGGGACTGCGGTCCATCATTTGAAAAAGACAACTATTTTTTTTGTTTTTGTTTTTTGAGTTGGGTGGCTGAATTAGAAGGTGGCCAAACAGTGAAGAACCACTAATTGTGAGTCCATGCTCACAATAAAAAAAAAAAAAAAAAAAAAAAAAAGACATTTTGGACTCACACAATTAAAATTGAAACAATGACAATATGCAGCTGGAAAAAAAAAATAACGAAAGCACGTCTGAGCTTGTTTTCAATCCAGGTCATTCATCAGAGCGCCTAAAGCAGATTGCGCTTCTGATCTCACCTGCGATTGATCACAAGCGTTGTCTTTGAACGCATCACAGGACTGACACGTGCAAGTCACGAGTCAACATTGTGGCAGCGGCTTCAAAGTAACGTTTGATTTTTACTCGTATGGCGTCTTGATGAAACTGCACGGATGCCTTTAAACCGCATAAGTTAATCGGGCAGAGTAATGTATCCTTACCAATTGTCATATTCAGTGATTTGCTTTATAACTGCTGTGGGAAACGGAGCTTCTGCTTCATAAATATATTACCATGACTCCAGCATCACAAAACGAGATTTTCCCATCCCATTAAAATATTTGTGAAAAAAATCAAATGAAATCAATAAAAACAGGTTAAGAAAATGTCTATTTCTTCAGTCAGTTGAGAACACGTCTCACTTCTTTCAGATTGTGACGTCAACATTACGAGAAACGTTTGTTTAACCTTTTCAGGGGTTACTACGGTGGACGGCTCATCATGTTATGAGGTTACAGGGTGCATGAAAGAGTTAAATACGTTTTTTTCTAATGATATATTTTAACCATCCATCCATTATCCGAATCACTGATCCTCACGAGGGTCGCGGGCGTGCTGGAGCCTATCTCAGTTGACTTTGAATGGTAGGCAGGGTACACCCTGAACTGAACATGTAATTTTATTTTCATATTTAAGAACAACCATGACAGACAACGTAATTATTTTCTCTCTTTTTTTTTTTTTTAAACAAACTATGAATTGTGTGGAACCACAATGAAAGATTGTTTTTGTGTATGTATACACACAAGTGCACACACGCACCTACTTCCTCGACATACAGTACAAAAGATCTTTGAGCAGTCACATTATATTGCTTCAACATACTTCCTTGACACCAATTACCACTTTCCAAAAAACAGGGCTTTGGCACCATTTTATAGCATCTCCGGGTCTTATAAAAGAGCACTAAACATGACAAGAACTGCAATTTAGTAAAATTTTCAGCGAATAGCAGAGCCTCAGTTCCTCAAAAAAAAAATGCAAATAGGTGAATACTGAGCCACAAATGGGTTTTAACTTTTCCATCCTTCCCTTTAATAATGTATAAAATGATGTTATCTTTTTTTTAATTGCTTTTGTGTTATTTTTGTCCTTATTTTTGCTCACGCTGCTACGATCCCGCTGATGTCCTTTGAAGTCAAGCAAAAATTAGCTCTTGAATGCGAATTGCGTTATTTGTCAAAACACTGTTGAGAGATGGGACTTTAAGTCATTTGGTTGTGAAAAAAAGGAAGACTAGAAAAAAAAAACAGTGATCATGTGGTATAAAAGTGTAAACAGATGGGCATGCGAGATTAAACCAGAAAGAGACGAGGAACGAGAGAGAGGGCGTCACTGTAATACAAAAGGATTCTGCACAGTCGTACAAAAGTGGAAGCAAAAAACACTTTAACAGCGTCGATGCAAAGTTGTCACATTATCAATAAAGCTTATAAAAATTAATAACAATATATAGAGATATATATATATATATATATATATATACCTTATATACAGTCAGAGTTAGTCAAGGTAACGAGCGCTACTGCAGATTGAAAAAAATAAATGAAAAAAAGTGAAAATTAGGATTAAATTAGAGGTAGCAGCAGATTCAGGATTTTTTTTTTCCTCAGCATTTTCCTTCCAACATTTCGGGATACTCAAATCGGATTCTTCATTTTCCACTTTAAATACTTGCACGGCCACAGAATGTTTTTTTTTTGACAGACACAAGTGTCGCAACACACATACGCACACACGCGCACACACACGCACGCACGCACGCACGCACGCACGCACGCACGCACGCACGCACACACACACACACACACACACACACACACACACACACACACACACACACACACACACAGCTTCCTTCATAAGTGTTCATCCCTACATCACAGTCTTGCTTCGGCCTCTTGGCTTAGTGGTCTGGAAAAGTTCTGATGGGTTGGCCCCGGCACCAAACCAACATGGGCACCACAACCGTGTAAAAAAAAAGGGCTACTAGCTTAATGAACGGTGGGTCCCTCTGTGGTCCCAGCCATGATCCTCCTCAGTACTCTAGTCCTGAATCCTCTAATAGGTTAATAACACTGATTTATCTTCTAATGGATGGCCCGTCATCCCCTCTGACTTCCTGTGTCACCCTCAATATTTGGGTCCGCATTTCTTGTGTCAAGGAAGATCCCCAGAGGCCACAGGGTGGAGAAGCCATTGAGGATTGTAAAATGGTGATGGTCCCACTCCCGTGGGTCCTCCCTATGTTTCAGTCTCAAACAGCTTAACAAAGGGTCCCTAAGTGGCGTGGCCGTTCAGAACTCGTCCAAGTGGCGGAAAGGATTGTGGTGGTACTCTCGCGGGTCCACGCCTACTTCCTGTGTTGAAGAAGCTCCATCACGGACCCCAAGTGGGGCATCGTTCTTGATGAGCCAAAGCACTTTCTTTCGGTGTCCAGGATGTTTCCAAAAGGACCTAACGTGGGCAGACACTCGGGGGTGGTGGTTTCGACCTTAAGGGTGCCAAAGTGGGGTGGCTGTTTATGACTGGAAAAAAGAGCGGTTCCCTAAGCATCACAAAGCTGGACAGGAGACCAGGACTAGGAGAAGCGATGGTGGCAATGGTGGTGTTCATGGTGGTAGTGGCACTCTAATCCCAACTCAACTACCTTGGTCAGCACCCCCCTCCCCCTTTCCTATGTCAAAGAATCTCTAACAGGGTCTCAAAGTGGGGTGGGTGTTCAAGACTGGTAGAAGTGGTGATAGTGGTGGTGGTGTTCGTGGTGATGGTGGTGCTCGTGCCGCTGCACAAGTTGTGCCAGCCGGCCCTCGTAGAGCAGAACCCCGGGCATCTCCCTCACCTGCTCCTTCTCCACTCCGGGCCCCACCAGGGTGCCGAGTGCCCGGCATGCCTGGTGGTCCTTGGAGCGCTGCTTGTGCTTGCGGTAAGGGGCGGCCGACTGGTGAGGGGGCGTCTGGCTGGGGAGTACCGGGGGGGCTGGGAGACCCCTGCTTCGCATCACCCGGCCGCTGATCTGAGCAGGGGGAGTGCGGCTGTGGGTCTTGGGGGAGCGAACGGCGGCTTTCCCAGAGTCTTGGCCTCGTGTCCGACCGAGATTGAGGCCCTCGGGAGGGCTGACTTCTGTGGCAGCTTGCAAACGGCGATGATGGTGAGGCTGCGAATGATGGGAGTGGCCGTTCTCTGGCTCGTGGGATCTAGAGCGGGTCTGGTTGGACGACCGGGTCTGGGGTTCTGCCTTGGTCTGCTCTGTAGTCGCTTTGAGACAAATACACGCAGGGTGGTTATTTGAGGTGTTTTTTTTTTCCCCCCGACTCCCTCACCGCCGATGACTCGTAAGCCACCGTGATGAAGATACAGTGCCACTTTCAAGCAACAGCCAGACTACACTGAATGGAACATTATCATGTCGAAATGCCCACATCCCCCAAGGGTGTGATACCCGGCTAGCTAATTTGTCAAAAGTTAAGCAGAGCCGCTTTTAGTTTTGTCAGATGTACAGGTTAGCATCAGTTCATAGTTTTTGCTTATTATAACATTTTTGAAGGAGTGTCAATGCTCGCATTTTTTTCACTTTTCCTAACATGAATCGGTTCCTAAAACTCAGAAAAGATCTTCAACACTTAGGAGTTTTAAATTAGGTAAAAATGTTGTATGTCGCCCAGATGTTTGCACTAGTAGTTCCGGAGCATGCAGGAGGGTCCACTCACCCGTTCCAAAGCGGGATGTGTAGTTCTCGATGCCAGCCAGGTCCAAATAGTGGTTCCGTCGCTCCAGGTTCTCGTCCACGCAGTGGCGCTGGCAGCCCGGCTGGGCGTGGCCGTGCTGGTCGCTGTGGTGGCGCCTAGGAGGGGGGGAAGCACCACCAATCATTTTGAGAGAGGTTCGTCACAGACCAAACGAGTGCTCCCTTGTGATCAGGCAGCCATTGTCGGAGCAGATGGGGAAAATCACAGGTCTCAGAAACAAACACACCAAGTAAACATTTTCCCAGGGATAGGGTGACTGATGCAAAAAAGTACAAGAGGCAAAAGTGCAGATTTACCGTATCAACGCTCGACTTTTCTTGTCTGCGCCCTTGGGGTCTTCGACACACTTGTCATTTCTCTCCCTTGGGTGGGACACATCTGTGTCGGGGGAAAAAAACAGAAGGCTATTATCAATGAGAACAACACACACACACACGCGCGTATACACGCACACACACACACACACACACACACACACACACACACACACACACACACACACACACACACGCACAACATAACAACAACAACTACAGTCACACAAGAAGAAAGCAACCTTTGTTTCGGGTTTTTACTTTGAAGATCTACAGAGGAGGGGGAAGAAGAAAAAAACAACACTGCTTCATTTATTCAATTTTCAACTCCCGGCATCTTCTAAATTAAATATGGGAAGAATAGAGTTAGAATAGACTTGAGAAATAGTTTAGCAATAAAGACGCCAGATCTGACGCAGGCTGAAATTAGCATAAAGGCGAACAGGCGATGTCGGAATCTCTTGAGGTGTATTTATAACTGTAAAAACAGGACAGAGGCGGGTAAAAATACATGGATGTATATTTTTGTGCTACTTTTTTTCCCTCTCCCGAGTCGTCATAAAGAAAGGTGAACATCATCAGATTTTTTTTGACAGCTCGCTTTTCACTCATATTTTTTTTGATAGTTTTATCCTCATCTTTGGATTTTTCGGGGTTTTTTTTAACACTTTTTGGTAACTGATTGATTTGTTGTTGTTTCACAAAATTTCTTCCCATTTCGATTTTTTTAAAGTCCTTTGACAAGTATTCATGTTTTACAGTTTATTTCACTCACATTCTCAGCAATATTTCATTCATTTTTATGCCGGCACTTCCTTTTTTTGACATTTTTATTTTATCATATACTGAGAAGTTTTCCACAAAGTTTCTGTATTTTTGGGGCAATTTATACAGACTTCATTTTAGGAAACTTTCACATGTTGGACCGTTTTCACTCTTGATTCTTTTATATTATTTACCACAGTAATTTTTGACCATTTTGTCTCATTTGTTTTGTACATTTTCTTCAAGGGAGGCTTCATTAATTTTAAATGTGTGGCTCGATTAATAGGGATTAATTGCTTTAACCGTGGAAAAGATAAGTGCTGCATAGGAGCTGAAAAATGCATCTCTATATTGATATATTTCACTTTTATAGCAACATTTTCTATGCACAGGTATATCCATGTTGGGTCCAACAATACGTAAGAGGTGCAGTTTACTGCTGGATAATAGACACACCGTAGACAACAAGGAGGACACAAAGAAAAACAATGCCTAAAAAAAGTTTTGTTGAGCCCATGGTATGGACAAGGACGGACAGGCACGTGCGTGGGACAAGTAGTGATTTACAGTTGTAGTTGACACACCCAATGTAGGTGATATTAAAAACCAACACCGTGCCGAGTATTTTTAACGAGCAAGAAGTGGCAGATGAGCTTAAATGCCTGGGGGAGGATCTCTCTAACCTTCACCATCAGTGGCAAAGGCGGCGATATTGTGGGGCATTATTTCCATAAGGTGAGCGGAGCACATTAATTACATTTTTATGACATCATTTCTTTTTCGCAAAGTTTCACTTGTGGACAATTTTCACATTAACCATTTTCAAACAACGCTTCATATACTCTGTTTCAAACTTCCAGCAACTTCTAATAGAAGCAGTGGAAAAAAGTATTCAGAAGAGACGGAGAAATTAATGAGGATGCCAGCTAGATCTGACGCAGGCTGAAATAAGCATAGGGGCGAGCAGGCTATGTCGGAATCTCCAGAGGTGTATTTATAGCTGTAACAACAGGACAGAAAGAAGCGAGGGAACACAGAGAGTGAAAGAGAGGGGGGGGGGGCAGAAAGAGGTGTGACCCCCCCAAATAAAACGGCAATTAAAAAATATTGCTATTTTTTGATGTTCCACTCATTTTTCCACAATTTACTTTTTTTCTACACTTCCATTACTAAAATATTCAGAATTTATTTTTATTACTTTCACAATTATGTTGATTTACTGACTTTTTACTACTTTAACAATTTTCACTCATTTATTTGGAAATTTTTACTGATGGATTTTTTTGGAGGGAAAACAAATTCTTGATAATTTTCACAAGAATGACAAACTTCTTTTTGTCATTCAGTCCATCACGTTCCCTATGATGAATTTAACAATTTTTACACACAAATCCAAGGGGTACCTGCGCTGCCCTGCGTGCAACTCCTCCATCTCTGGCTGGAGTCTGGCGCCACTGACAACTTGACCCGCAAGGTCTTACTGCTGCTGGGAGAATGGTTGACAGAGGCGTCCACCACCTCGTATATGGTGTGGAGGAGACTTGTGATGTCCTGCAAAAAGATGGTCACACAGAGAGACATGACTTTTTTTCACATTACTCTGCCAATTTTGGATATAGAGTGGAACCTCAATTTTACGGACAAATACTGAGCCGATTCTCTGTTCAACTATTTTGTGTCCTAACGACATCCATTACAGTAGAAAATGGTACATAGACATACAACTAGTGCTCACTTCCTCTCTGTTAAATCTGGAGTCTGTTGGTTCCCGGTCTGTGAAATCAAGGTTCCACTGTTCAGTCTGATACACATGGTCTCTCTGTATTGCGGACTTTCAGCTACAGAGGGTGGCTTTGGAACATATTCCCTGTGATAAACGGGGGTCCATTGTAAACTGCTGCCAATTTAGCAGCAACAAAAAGAGCTAAATATGCAGGAATGAGTGCACATTTCAGTTCCAGGTACAGACACCAAGGAGAAAAACATCTTCTGTGGCGTGACAACATGAAAAGGAGCTAGAGAAGAAAGAAAGCGTCTGCCGTCTCGTGAGTCAAGGAGCCACCGGCAACAGCTCCACATACACACAACACAAAACTTTCTGGGTGTTCTCTTCAATCTCTACAGGCACCAAGCACGGCTTCCCTGGCAGCAAGGAAAGACGAAATAGGTCTGGAGAGGGTTTCTGACAGGAGACTTTTCGTTTGGGTGTGGTGGCTCCACATCAGACCTGTGTGTGTGTGTGTGTGTGTGTGTGTGTGTGTGTGTGTGTGTGTGTGTGTGTGTGTGTGTGTGTGTGTGTTTTTTTCCCCAAATCAGCAGCATGTTCCCATAATGGACATCATGTTGCTTTTCTCACTGGATACTTCAGCATTACACTCCACAATCTCATCTTTGCTGTGGTGGCCCATTTTTCTGTTGCTCTCAATCTCCTCTGCGACAAAAATGCATTTTTGTACCGAGAGAATACAGACGAGCCGAGTTTTCCGTGTGTGTTTGTTCGCGCCAATGCCATGTTGAAACGGTGTGTGGCGCACTGAATATTTCCCGCACTCACCACGTTGGTGAAGGGCCAATTTGGCTGATCAATGTCGCACCGGGGGGGATCCCACGTCAAAAGATAGCTTTGTGGATAGAACAGATACCTGATATATTATGTTTTATTAATAATTCCATTTCAAAGGTTGAATTGAATGATTGATTTAACCAAGGATGCAGCTGATTTCAGCAGGTGGCTAACATCATGAGGAGATGTTTAAGGCAAAAAAATCTTTTTTTTTTTGTTGTTGTCAAAATATGACTTAATTCCTGCAAAGTGTTGATATCGTTCTTTGTTGACCCATTTACATCCAATGAACTAGACTTGTGAGTTGTGAGGACTTGCTAAATGTGCTTAAAGGTAAAACCACAAACTCCACATTTTCCACTTTGCTGCGGCAGCCGGTCTTCCTCTGTCTCCACACAAACCGAGAATCGAGAAGAATCTTGTTGATGCTCGCTGTTGTTGGTTAGCATGTCACGAGACATCCCCCCTGAAGGATTTAAGCCTTGGTGGAGGTATGTGCTCATTCTTTGATGTTTTATTCGTGAAATAAGATGACTTTAAACTCTACAGCTTGATTAATAAAAGAAAATCCCAGATGTTCATGTGGGTGGGGATGTCTTGGCAGATGTTTGTCTGATTTACTTGCTCATTCATCGATCAAAGACTTGCGCCTCCAGAGTCTAAGCCCATCCAAGCCCACCCTTCTGGGAAAAGACAGTTTACCTCTCTGGTGACTTTCCCGTTGTTGTCAAAGTCATAGAGGGTGAATGTCCACTCCTGACGGTTATCCTCCTCCATGGACACAGCGCACTCTAGCTCCTGGAACAGCACAGCCACATCAGTGTGTATGTGTCTCTGTGTGTCAGTGTGTGTGTGTGTGTGTGTGTGTGTCAGAATAAGTAGGTGTGTGCGTGTCTCCGTGTCAGTGTGTCTGGCCTAGTTTCCTCTTCGTGGAAGTTAATCGTGGTCCCGTTGAGTGCGGACAAAGTGAGAAACTCACCTCAAACTGGACCTGCTTGCCATCCCGCTCCTGCATCATCTTGTCCTCCAAGCAGCAGCTGTCTGTCTTCTCCGGAGGAAGAGCCACTGCAGACATACAGTATAAACAGATGAAAATAATCAGCCTCAAATGGTGTGCGGCCCTGACCTGAGGATAGGTTGTCGCATGTGTACCCGGAGAAAACCGTGTTTTCATTATATTCATCGATTCATTATCTGAACACTTTTATCCTCACGAGGGTCACGGGCATGCTGGAGCCTATCCCAGCTGACTTTGAGCAGTAGGCGAGGACACCCTGAATTGGTTTTAATTAAAAATCCCTTCCAAAAAATTATGTATTATATCCAATTAGTTTGTCGGTGGAACCTGGTAGGTCCAACCTATTGTGTGGGTCTGCTAAGCAGGACTGGTAGAGTTCCCTGTGAGAAGGAGTTTTGAAGTCCAACGTTTAGCAGAACTTGGACCACATTCCATAGCAGGCAGGCGGCAATGAATCTGAGTGGACCATATTGCGTGCCGCCATTGTTGATTGAGGTAGCCGACCCAAGCTATGGCCCTAAGGTAGGTAGGTGACTGTTCCCGTCGATAGATACCAGTGGTCAGGGATTCCGTCTAGTTGAAGAAGGCATTCTATTGAGCCTTTTTGGCTCATGGGACTCCAGAGGCAGCTGATGGCAACCGGAACAGTGCCTCTGGACTTGTGATGGGACTGGAGGGTTTGTTCCATTGTTCCAACTGTAGTGGGGCTTCACTCCTCAGCCTCCGGAGAAGAAGGCCTGGTGGGATGATTACTTTCTGTCTAATTATGGCTGTTTTGGCTGAACAAAATATTAGGAGCAGCTCTCAGTAAAAGGCTGTGCAGTTGAACACTTTTGCAAACCACTAGCGTAATAATAGACGTCATGTACCAGCCTAAAAACACATAGGGAGGGATTTTTTTTTTCTTTTCAGTTATCTTTCGCTAATTTAGCAGACACTTAAATTCAGGACCTGTTCACAGTTCGATACTGACAGAATTGAGCTTGCCATAAAACTGTGTCCAGTGATTTATTTTATTTTTTTACAAGCACTTTGCAAAGTAAGAAAAGAAACAATTTTCTGTGCATTTTTTTCAACATTTTTTTTAACAGGTGAGTAAAAATTAAAAGTACAGATTGTAAAATCTGTTTGAGGACAGGAGTGTTAGTACTTTTACTAGAGAATTTGCTCACAGAAGTATCTGTACTTCTACTTACGGTAAGTACTTCATGTGAGTACTTTTGCCACCTCTTCAGACCACACCCCCGTCTCCCTCTCTTTTTAGCCTCTCCTCCCATCCCACTTTGAAGTCCCTACTCTCCAACCTTCTGGATGAGGATCAGTCCGGTCCGTGGAATAAAAACAGAATCACTAATTAATAAGCCGAGTCAAATTGGAAACACTGTTTGTTTGCGCGCCAGCCGGGGCAGCAGACACAACACGACGGCCCACTTTCTTCCTGCGCCATCCGAAAGCGGATCAAAGCCGAACCGTCTGATCATCCCCGTTGCGTCGGGAGGAGGCCGGAAATGAAAGGCGACATCCTGGGGAACTTTTTTTTTTTCTGGATATTGAGAGAGGAGGCGGCTCCTGCTGTTTGATCGTGCGTGCGAGGGGCAAATCTGTTCGGCAGCAGGCTCAATATGGCGGTGAGATAGCTAATGAAACGCCGGGAGGAGAAACAGTAATGCAGGATCACTGAACTCCCCCAGTCCCCCCCTTTAGAAGTCCACAAGCCAAGAAGCCGCCGTGGGATTGGCTCTGAGGGGCACGGCGAGGGCAATCCGTGGCTCGCAGTTTGGGAGCGCTGCCACGTTCGAGCTCATCCAGCTTGGCTACTGTATTACACGTATCTGCTGCCTCCTGCCCTTCCAAGGCTAAATGCATGGGCGATGAGTAGGATGACTCTGCCTTTGTGGGCAGAAGAAGTCACATTTTATTCATCAGGTGATCAAGGGAGTTAATCCTGCTCTTTTTTTTTTCATGTAGGTTTTTATTAGCGTCTGAGTGTAATTGGTGGCCAAAAGTAAGCAACAAAGCATCGTTTGTTTGGGGTTACTTCTCAACTGGCTTTAAATGAAGCTCAACGCATTTTTATTATCCAAAACAGTTCTGAGGTGTCTTAACTCATTGGCTGTCAGTCGTTTTCAAAGTTTTACTGCATTTGGACTGATCGGGAAAGCGCTTTCTTACAGCTGCAGCATATTGTTTTATATTATCTTTCAAGAAGCACAGAATATTGTGGTCTTTGACAATAAAAAAAACTACCTACCAAAAGAAAGGGTCGACTTTTTTTATCACTTGGAAAAAAGTTTCTTTTTCTTTCTGTTCTTTCACAGTCGGTCACTGTTCACTGTTGGTTTAACCAAAAACGCCAGTTGTTGTATCAGCTAGCTAGTGCTAAGCTAACCTGCCATCTCCTGTCTGGCACTGAAGGCGCCCAAACCCTCTCCGTATGCTGATATGACGTGTGAGAGGCGAACAGTGAGGTAACAAAGACAGCGGTGTTAATATAGTCCCTAGCTGGGCTTTATTGACTAAATTCTTAATAGTCTAATTTAATGTTCATTAGCCGGTTAAATATTCCTGCTTCCGAGCGGTATGCACAAAGATAGCACACTTTCACGCATGTTTACTCCCCACGTACATATGCCACACTGGAAAGTGAGAGTTGCCACTCAAATATTCCTCTGTGACAATACACAGGACAATTAGTTATAACCCATTCTCACGCAAATCCAAAAATTCAGATTTGGCGTTTGTGTTTAATGGTCAGTTTGCATCTTAATTCAAGTCACCACCGATTCATGCACAGCCATATTAGATACCCTTTAAAATCAACTGGATTTTTGGTGAAATTATGGATAATAGTGCCTGAAGGTGTGCAAACCTTGGCAATTTTCCATCAGCTTTTTGCATTCTGCGTGGGGGTCGGAAGCTCTCATTTAAGTCCCACTTTGAACAGGGAAGGAGAGGCTTCCAAATCCGAGGATCATGTCACACTAGTGGGGAGTCTTTGCATTGGGGGAGGGGTAAAAGTAAAGGGGACCTCGTCAGCACACAGTTGGGGCTTTAGAGTTATGGGGTGGACCTGGGGGAGGGAACACCCTAGCAAAAAGAGGGATGCCAGCCCAATATATGGTATTTTCTTCATCTTTAAAATCAATGATGGAATAAAAAGCAGTGTAGCATGCATTGCTTGATGGCTTACCTTCTAAGCGGTAGTGCTCATCACCAATCTGCTGAGCTTCATTTATGGAGCCCTGGAAAAGAGAGAAAGAAAGAAAAATAAACATGTGTTGTCAAGTATATCAGCGAGTCTCTCATTCTGGCACATATAAACAAACAGTGCAAATCCACAGCAGGGCATTCTTACCCAGAGTGGCATCCCAGCATCTAACCACGGGCAGTCAGATGGACATACACAAACAAAGTTTGACATCAGCATGGGAGGATAATTGTAGGGTCAGAAACGCGCTACACTAGACTGGCAGTCAGGCTGAAGCTACTGCACATCGAGGGCGAACACAACTATTTCAGTGGTGTCCTAGAACCCCCTTTTCAGCCAGCTCAGATTGTTGCTATGCGGAGCTTTGAAGGGGCACAAAATCCCTCGGTTTCACGATGTGGCTCAGATATCCACGGGGTTGTCATCCATCCAAAAAGCCATCGCTCACTGTTTGACAAGATCCTTGACAAGCACGCAGCCACTGACATGAAAACAGAGACCATCTTTCCATGAAGAGGGACAGTACACAGAATGCCTACACGTTTGAGATTTCAAAATTCCATACCTATTCCAGACCATAATTTCCAGACTTCTCGGTAAAAAAATAATTTGTTTGATATGCGCCAGTTGTGAGAGACTCGACCCATTATGAGTTATGTCAACGATCAAACAACAAAAGACACGTATATGCCAGGGTTAATGCCTGACGAGGTGTGCAATTATCAGGCATTAATATACACAGTTTTGCTCATGATAATTTTAGCGATAGCCAAGTGACGCTGTTTGAGACATCACAGTCATTTTAAGGAGTCCACTTTGAGCAAACTTCAGAATTCTTGGCCTGTATGAGTTTATTTGTGGATAATAGTAATAATAATAATAGCTGAAATTTGTCAGCTATTCAAACGAGAGGTTTGACCAGATTTTCGTTCGGCAGTATAACACAAAAACATTGCTTAAAGAGGCCATTTTTTAAAACCACACAAAAACCTAAATTTCTCCAAAACCCTTCATTCAATTTTCAAAAACCTGGCGCTTTGTGTTCAGATTGAAGTGACCGCTCCAACCACACTCAGCAATTTGACAGATTTGCATTTCTGGGAAATCCTGTCACATTGCTACTTACATTATTTTTAGCAATTGCGAGTGAAACAAAAGCACATCAACTTTGACTAAAAATGTTCTCTTGGCCCCGCCAAAACAATACTACAAGGTTTACCAACTAGTGTGAGTGGGAGTCAAAGGTGCGCCACATTGAATTGTTCAGTCATCCACGGAGGTGGAAGCTCACAAATGTGTGAGCCTACCCTCCATGAGATACTGCTGGTCATAGTGCGGCCCCATGGGTGATCTCCCAGGAAGAAAATGCAACGACCTGCAGTACTTTGTGGAAATTTGAGAAAAAAAAAAAGTTGAAGTGCAAAATAATAGAGGTTCAGCTGTTACTGTTTAGCATGACACAATGAAGTTGGCCCCATACGATACCGGGTATCGGTAGTGGCCCAGCTCTATTTTGGAATAAATACTTTGTAGATTTAAGTAAACGGCGGCTTTTAAAGATATTCACGTCAAAAAATGTAACAGAAAGTTTTCAATCTTACGTTTAGTTCCCCTTGAAGCAGACTTATGTAAACAGAAAGTGAAAACATGTTTTAATTAACCATTTCGATAGACAGCGAGACATCAAAATCGTCTGAGTATTTGGACTTCAGACAGCTATAAAATTGATACTGAATCACAAATGAAAAACAATCCACTATATTTTGTCCCAGGCAGTCCTTAATAACTGTGGATTACATTTCAGGAAAGCATGTCTTAAAGCACTCCATCACCACCCGATTGCTTGTTTTCCTTTTAAACTTCACCACTTTCTCAAATAATTAACTGACTTACATGTCATTTTTGTCTTGCATCAAAGACAAACATGACTCCAAGGTCAACATTCCACTAATGCCTTTAATCCATAAATACACAAAGATCAGGCCCCTTGGATGTTTTCTTTGATTTTTTTGATGATGAATGGTACAAAATTATTGCAGGGCAAGACAACAGCATGACAAACAGGAGAACCAGGAATGTGCTAATTGGTTGTTGTCTGCAGTGATGGATGGAAACCATTTTATTAAGTATGCTCGGGTGACCACTGGAATTGTTCTGGTCAGTGTGAAAATGGGAAATATCACAGGCCTTTGGTCACTTTTACACACAACCATGCACACACGCACGTACATCTGAGCCTTCTCATGTCCTTCAATGTTGATGGCTAAGAGAAGACTACGGAGAGGAAATAAAAGTACACTTGCCAACTGATGACCCCCCACCAAAAAAGTCATATATCTATACAGTCAAACCTCAGTTTTCGAACGTCTCGGTTCTCGACCAATTCGGTTTTTGACCAAAAATTTTGAGTTTTTTATGCCTCGGCTGATGAACAAATTTCGGTTCTCGAAAAAACTGAGCGCACTTGAATGCACCACTTGACTCCTCTCGCCTTCCTTACACGAGGAAATGACGCTTCCTCGGGTAGACGAGGAAGTGACGCTTCCTCGTGTCGCTTTCCATTGTGAGCAGACGCGTTCAATAAACTTTTTTTTTTATAAAAGAGCGTGGTTTCGATTTTCGAACAATTTCGGTTTTCAAACAGCCTTCTGGAGCGGATTGTGGACGAAAACCACACACACACACACACACACACACACACACACACACACACACACACACACACACACACACACACACACACACACACTGTATATGCAATATGGTGCAAGATTCTGGTCATAATCCAACACTTCAACAACAGCGCTCGCATCCAACAAAACCGTTTTCCAGACATTGTGTTTGAATGGACATAAAAGTGTTCGGTTTTCAACAGCAGCCATGTCCGTCAGAGTTACTTTGGGATTGTGCGGCCTCTCCCCCTTGGGTGTTTTAAACTTGTTCAAACTGCTTCAGCACAAAATGATTTATGGGCAACTGTAACATAGAAGCTTGTGTGCATGCCTTTCTTCAATATGCCTTGCTGGTCTGGGTTGTTTGGCTTGGCAAACCTCATCAGGTGGGCAAGTAATGAACTTGAAGGTGCCAAAGAACCATTAGCACATTGATAAACACAAGAAAAGATGCAAGCAGCTATGAATGAGATATGAGTCTTACGTCAAGTCATCATATTTTGCTGCCACACTCTACCCATTCATACACGGTGTTCCAAATTATTATGCAAATAATGTTTTTCCTTTCTTCCTAAAATGACTAAATGACCCGAAAACGACCACATACCAAATAGGCTGCATTCTTGTGTCTTTTTCGGCATGATTTCTTCAGACATTTTTGTGACTACATTCATGACAGGGATGCGTACCAAATTTTTCATCCCAAAAGGAAACTCGCTTGGGCAGCTGATTTTCAAAAAAAATGTACATTGGACTGTTGAGACATGCCAACCAAACTTAAATTTTCATCAAAACGACCACGTCTGGACAATTTCTTAAGTTTTTGAGGATGGGAAATCCCTAACAAAATAATGATTTAGGTGGCCTATGAATAACTGTTAACCACGCTCAATTGTCAGTCCAAGTGCTTGGGTTAAATCATCTTCATGTTCAGTTTGCTTCTGGTATTTCATATTTAGCATCTCTTGGTACTTCATTACGATGTTTGTTTATTTTTCTGCTTTAAGAGAGGAGTAGTTAGAGAAATTTAAAGGCCTTTGTGACCAGAAAGTGGCCTCTGGCACCATACTAAGTTTGGCACTGCCGACATGGACTTACTGTCTTTTTTTTTTTTCTGCCAGTGTTTGAGAGCAAAAGGCTACATTAAATTATACCTACTATGTATTTCAATGTGATTGTGGGAAAGTCCCACAAGGCCTCTTTGGTCTGCTCGCTTTCTGCCTCGGTGAGCCGCCACACAAGCTGACAATTTATGCGGCCGACGACAGCTCCCCCTGAACGAGAGCCAGGGCCCCGGTCGAAGGAGGCCGCTGGAGCTGCGGCGACGGCGGCTACTGGCGCTCCATCAAAACCCGGACAAAATCTCATTAAGGCTGTGACTGGGTGAGGCTGTGGCTCCTCACCCAGCGCAAGGAAACGCCTTCAGAAATGCGTTTTTGTTTTGTTTTTTGTGTCACGGTGCCAAAATAATGTGGGGAACCGCAACGATAGATGGTGACTCAGTGGAGCGCACGCCACAGCCAAGGCCGAACTGTTCAGTGTTTCCCCATTAGCAGAATGAGTTCTGGTTCCAAGAGAATGCCAACCAGATGACTTGAGGGTGATGGATGCTTAAAGACCAGGCCAAGTGAAGTGAAGTTTATTTGTCCCTTAATCACCAGAGTCTCAAAGGGCTTCACGGGCCCATAGCTGACCGACATCTCCTGATCAAAAACCTCCCGTTGCCAAAATGTTTGTTTTTAGCTTAATACTTTACTTTTCATTGTGGGGAGCAAAAAACATAACCTCATGATCTTAGAGATTGCTTGCAGGGGAAGCTATCTTGATTCACTGTTTCACCAGACACAAAACAATAATGACTTTTGAAATTAAACAATGTAAACCGATGCCATAATGACCCAAGCGGTCAAACTAAACTACTGGTCTGACACCTTTATCCAGAGATTCAAAATGGCTTCTTTTTCAGCTCATGCATCACCTCGTGGGAAATTTTTATTTTTGTAGAATCCAATAACTGTTTCACTAGTTATTGTTTTAGTATGACAGCAGTCTATGAGGGCATTTTTATGGCAAGATTTACTTTTCAATGGTTCGACAAATAGTTGGGTCTCTGAAGTGCTGCCCCACCCATCAAGTGTGAAATTAACTCAAAGTACATCTACTGTTACATGCTTTTTTTTCTGAAACTGTCTGTGAGCAAGCCGTTCTCCATTTCCCCCTGGAACATAACAATGAGGAGGATTCAGCCAGACTTGGGCCAAAATGCGCACAATCACTGCCGAGATCCATCCCGCTGTTCTGCCAAACGTGCCATCAAGATGACAAGAGGCAACCAGAGAAGCCTTTGCGGTTGAGAAGCTCA